TGTGGGGTGTGGGGTGTGGGGTGTGGGGTGTGGGGTGTGGGGTGTGGGGTGTGGGGTGTGGGGTGTGGGGTGTGGGGTGTGGGGTGTGGGGTGTGGGGTGTGGGGTGTGGGGTGTGGGGTGTGGGGTGTGGGGTGTGGGGTGTGGGGTGTGGGGTGTGGGGTGTGGGGTGTGGGAAATGGCCAGAGTTGAGTGGGGGGAAGACGTAGGTACCGAAGCTGTAGACGTCGGCGAGCGTGTAATCCAGATCGACGGTCTCGTTGAGCACCTCGGGCGCCGTCCAGTGGATCGACCCCTGGGCCTCGTGCACCGCCGCCTTCTGCACCTCCTCGCGGAACTTGGTCAGCCCAAAGTCGCTCACCTTGACGTTCCACTTGGCGTCGAGCAGCAGGTTGAGCGACTTGAGGTCGCGGTGCACGATGCCCGACGAGTGCAGGAAGTGCATCCCCTTGGCCGCCTGGTACGCCATCTTCACCTTCAGCTCCAGCGGTATGTCTGGAATGAGCTCGTTGTGCAACAGCTGCACGTTCCATCACACACAATCAGAGTTAAGAGGAGGTTGTAGCTACGGCATGGTCATACGGGTCAACACGTGAGATAGATGTGGTGAATTGCGGAATAATAATAATGATAGAATGTACCTCGTAGAGAGAGCCGAGAGACATGTGCTCCATGACGATGCACATCTTGGGTGGCTTCGTGCACGCCGCCATGAACAGCACCACGTTCGGATGCCGCAACGCCGTCATCATGCGCACCTGGTCGCGTGTCATTGCACCAACCACCGATCAGCCGACAAGGAAGAGTGGCAGAAGTGGGGAAAAGGAGACTCACCTCGTCGGCGAACTGGCGCTGCATCTCCTTGGTCACCACCTCCGACGACATCACTTTCACCGCCACCTCCGTCCCGCGCCACTTGGCCTTGTACACACTCCCGTACCTGCTCATACCGGCCAATGTGAGTCGCCAGATGTGGAGAAGAGGAGACGTGTAGTAGAGTGTGAGAGAAGAGCGTACCCGCCAGTGCCGAGGTGGTCCTCCATCTCGAGCTCGCTCGGTGAGATCTCCCAGTTGTCGTTGCCCCACTGCCTCTTCTTGACGATCACCGCCACGATGATGCCCACGGCGGCGAGGATCACCACGATCAGGAAGAACGGAACCCCCACGCCCAGCGCCACGGCCAGAGCGATCGTCGCGGTGTCGTCGCTCGAAGAACCCGCCTGGTCTGTGTGGACAGAGATCATAAGGAATTAGGCTCGAGTACTGATGGAAACGTTTGTGTGCGGGAGTATGTACCATCGCAGAAGGTGCCGCTCCAGCCACTGGCGCACACGCACTCGCCCGACGGGCACGACCCGTGACCAGAGCACAGTTCGCCGTCACGCACGCACGGGGCGATGGAGCTGACCTTGGCCCCCTGGCACGTGACGCTGGTGAGCTGCGTGAGGATTCGCTTGAGCACGCCCGGCGATCGGCCCGCCGACGTGATCCTGTTCCGCGTGGCGATGGTAGACGCCTCATCCGTGCTCTGGGTCCAATAGATCCAGTCGACGAGCGCCTTGGCCTTGGCGCAGTTGCTGGGCTCGATCTGGTTGATGAGCAGGCCGTTGTAGGACGCCATGGGCCACGAATTCGCGCCGGACCCTGTGGTGTTGTTGATGATGCGACGCCCCGGTCAGCGTGTGACGCCAGCAAGCAAGGAAGTGCCCTAGCAGGGGTACCCAACAAGAGGACAAAGTCGGTGGTGCCGGCAAAGTCGTTGAGCAGGGAGAGGATGGTCTCCGGCCCGGGCGCGACCACATTCCCCGCAGGGTTGTAGAGCGAGGCGGCCCGGAGGTTGTTGTACGGATCGATCATGCCGCTGAGCGCCAACCATATGGCATAGGGCGTCGCCGCGGCCACTGTCACCTGCACGTTGGCCGAACTGGGCACTCCCTTGACCCTCTCGGGGGCCAGGGTTTGCACCGGGTAGGTAACCAACCCGCCGGGAGTCACCTGTGGTTGCGCGCAGCTCCGGGTCAGAGCACTCGCGACAGGGAGCAAACGAACTGTGCGCGTAGGAATGGAGGGCTCAGTACTTGTCTGGCGAATTCAGGCACGGCCTTGGCCATGGCGGGCGAATTGACCACGTTGATCGCCGAGAAGATCTAAATGGGAATCGGAGAGTTAGCGCGCGAGAGAGAGAGAGGGGGGGAAGGACCAACAACACCAAGCGGTGGTCGAGCGCAGCCGGATATGATGTGCGGTACCGTAGGGACAACGACGATGATGGACTGGTTGGGAATCAGACTGGCGATGGGCTGGTTGATGTTCAAGATCTTCGGGTCCCGCCAGTTCGAAATCTTTCCGAGGTAGATGTCGGCTAGGATCTCCAGTGTCAACACCAGCGGGTCCGACTCCAGTAGTTCGGGTATCTGGTGTTATCCAGGCGTCGGTTCGTCAGTTCAATTATTGCACTCCTCGCCCTCGCAGCATAACACACCCACGCAGAAGGGGCTTTACGTTGTAGGAGGCAAGACCGGCTTGGCCAAGCAGAGGCACCAGCAGCACATCAGGCAGCTGCGCCCACTGCGCCTCCGTGGGCTCATAGCTCACCGCTCCGAAATCGATGGAACCTGTGACGACGGACTCATGAGTCAACCAACCGGGCGAGAATGGGAGGGAGCGAAAGGGTACGTACCGGCGATCATCTGGTTGATGGTCGTGGGCGAGTCGTAGACGTAGTACTTCTCCACAAACGAGTTGGAGGTGTAGGCCACGGCCCAGTCGTCGACCGCTCGGATCGTGCCACCCATGCCTATGATGTAGGCCGTGCTGAGGGCGGTTTGATTGTTGCACTTGACGGTGCCGAACGAGTTGATGAGCGCCCTCTTGTACACGATCGCCAGCGCGCCCCAGCCCTGCGCGTTGATCGTCGTCCCCGCGCGGTCGTTAGTCTGCACCCAGCTCAAGAACCGCATCAGGCCCTCGGCGGGCCCGCAGTCCTTGGCCTGCTTGGTCTGCAACGTGGTGAGGAAGACCGTGTAGGCCAGCGGCCATGTGGCATTGCCCGCTCCGTTTGAGATGTCGCTGCTCATGTCCCCTGTTGTCTCACCGAGAAGCACGGCCCAAGCGAAAAAGAGAAGATGAGCGAAGTGTCAACGGCAAAGCCCAACGACGCGACGTACCACCTTTGACAGAGGTGCTGAAGTCGGTCATGGCCGACTGGATGGCGGCGGCCGAGGGCGAAACCAGGCGACCGGCCGCGTTCTTCATGCGCGCGCACGCCATGCCGGCTGCGAGCACCGATCCGTAGTCGGCGTATGTCATGCTGTACAAGTTTGCCTGCGCGACCACACATTCGCACGGATTAATGACCAAAGCCAGCCAAGCCGCCCATAGTTCACTGGCTTTGGTCAATGGCGGCAAGGTACCTTTACGGTGGCCAGGCGAGCGTCGGTGCCGGATACTTTCATGGCGCTCGCCGGCACCATGGCCGCGAGTGAGCCCGCCGACGCCAAAGCCGCCGCAAACGAGCTCGACACGGCAGACAGGGCGCGCACCAGCACGCCGCTCATCTCCACGCTGCTCGGCGCCTCCGAGACCACGAGCGTGATGGCGTTGGCCGGCAGGGTGACATTGGGGTTGAGGGCGGCGATGTCGGCGTGGTCCCACGTGGTGATGGTGCCCATCCACACCTTGGCCAGCACCTCGCTGCTCACCACCTGTTCGCTCCCCTCCCACCGTCAAACCGCCACAAGAGGAGTTTCAGGTCCCAGTTGCCGGCGCAAATAACGGAGAAGGGATCAGCAACTCAACGGAGTCACAGCCAAAAGAGCGTGTTTCAGTTGAAGTGGGAATTGCGGGGAAGATGGTTGGTTTGCGGGCCAGGTGGGACCACTCCGGAGCCGAAGAAAGAATGAAGGAGAAGGGGAGGGTAGTACCAGGGAGGAGACGTTGACGCCGTCCAGGTTGATCGCCATCACCAGCGCAGACCCGGTTACCGGTACCTGCAGCGCATCGGCTGGAAGGTTGGCGGGGTCAATGCGTCCGTCGGTGATGAGGTAGTCGATGGCGCCGCTCTCGACGCGCGCCAGCGAGGCCGTCGTGTTGTCGGCAGCGTTGTAGTTGATGACAAAATTCTCGGTGTTGAACGAATACCCCACGCTCCACGACGAGAACAGATTCTTGTGTACACTACCCACTCCATTCACCACCACCGTGCCCTCCACTGGGTTGTCGAGACGAGAGAAGAGGAACACACAGGGTGAGTTCTAATGTTGGAGACGAGGACCACCACACTTCATCATCAAACCCCGCCAACCGAAGCGGAGACGCGTGGAGGAGGTTGTACCTTGTGTGGTTTGGGATAAGAGAAGAACGAGAGGAGAACACAAGGTATAGTACAAGATAAAGGAGATGATGAAGGAAGGGCTTGATGCTGGCCGCGAGCGTGGCCTGTCCATGTTGGCTCTGTTGTATTATTTGGCGTAAATGGAGTGGTGAGGCGGCTACCACGACAAGGAGACGACGCCGTACCCCCAATGAAGAAACCGAACCTCGTGGCGGAGCAACTTGGCCCGCCGCGCGATTGGTAGAACGCACGTGTTCAGGTAGGAGTTTTCCCCGTCATCCCGACTCAGGGACAATAAGCAAAATGCCCATTGGCTCATCATCGGGGTTTAATGAAGAACGTTGGCCAGTACCGCGCAACCGATTATCAGAGATCGAGCTAGGGGGTGGGTAACCAGTGAACCTCCACTGGTGCCAAACCCATCTGACCGGCACCGCAACCGACGGCGTCGCAAGGCAGGAGGCAGCCGCGGCGGCGCTACTTCTTGGTGAGTGCAATCTTGATGGAGAAGGTGATGGTGCCGGCCGGGCTCACGAACTCTCTGGTCCGTCCGATGAGGTCGTCCCACGTACACGAGCCAAGGAAGTCGTACCAGCCCCACCCGTCGTTGAGCGACGTGAACATATCAGCGCCTTTCCTGTGGGGCCCAGCACCAGCACGACCCAAGCACAAATATAAATATCACAACGGAATTTTGGTCCATGACACGCACGTGTCCGAAGACAACGCTCGGTCCTAGCGCACCGAAGCCCGTTGGGTCCACGTACCGGGTGTAGGCAATTTCTCTGTTTCTGCCAACCACTTTGGCGATGGCCTTAAAGTGGACGAAGCACGACTGCATCGCGTCAGCGTCGTCGTCATCTGCGTCGGTCTCATCGCTCGGGTACGGGTGGATGCAGATAAAGAACCCTATCTTGTCCCCCTCCCTCGACAGCTCGCAGTAGCTGTGCGCCAGTGTCAGAATTCGGAAAGACGGCAGCGTAGATCTGGTAATCGAGGGGGACCCGTACAAGTAGTAGCCCTTGTGTAGGAGGTAGGAACTGGTGTAGTGCTCGGCGCCGTCCTTGAGCTCGACCTCCCAATCGAAAACCAGCTTCTTCTGCGGCTCGGCTGGCAGCGGTCGGGAACAGTAGCGCCGGTTGCTTGCCACTTGGTTGTTGCTCGCCAGCTCCATCTGCTGGCGCTTCTTGCCGAAGGAGAGCCATACCAGCGCCTCCTTGTGAAGCGCCTGTAGGCAGCGTAAGAGTGAGACATGACGCTTGTTGTTGAGTTGGAAGCCAAAAAACGAACCTGAAACGAAGGACAACTCTGTAGCCAGGACGCTTGTGCGACAACGTCATTGAGGAAGTGGCTGTCCATCATGGGCCAACGGATGCTGGGCAGAATGTGGCCCAATTGGCCTTGCCGCTCTTCCTTGTCCTGATGGCCACCAGCGTAGCGTGAGTCGATACGCAGCGGCGAAGAGAGGAGGAGAGAGAGAACACTAGAAGGTAACATACCTTCGCAAGCCAGGTGCGTAGAACGTGGAAGAGATTGTTCTCGCTGGAGATCTCGCACTTGTCGCAGTCCAAGAGAGTACGCAAGGCCGCGGGGCTCAGTTGCCAGAAGTCGTCCTGCTCCCACACCTGATCCCGTCCAGCTGGGGTTAGATGCGTGGTGCCAGCCGTTGTAGGTGTGTGCACCTTGTCCAGGTTCCCAAAACGGTCTAATAGCACTTCTTGGCATCGAGACACGAGTGCCTTTTGGGAGGGTGTGGCCAGGGACAGCACCTGCAGAAGTGAAGAGTGATCGGCCCAGTCAGCCAGGTAGGCAGCCAGGAGGGTAACGGACGGCCTGCGGGAGTACCTCTTCGCACTGCTCGAGAGTGAAATGGATGGTCGCCAGTGACCTGGACGCTGCGTCAACTGCCGAAGGGACATCATACTGCAAAGAGGAGTTGATTAGATTGGCTACACACTGTTGAGTCGGGTAACTTACCTTATCGGCCGTAATGAGCACTTCCACAAGGGACCGAAACGTGGAGGCGTGAAGCCGACCTTCGTAGATGAAGCGAATGATATCCTGGAGTGGCCTAAGCTCTTCTTTACTCATTTGCAACCACACCTGCAGTGGCGCGAGCATGTGAGAACTCGCCAGCAGTGAGACGATACGACCGAGAGGAGGAAAGGATGGGTGTACCTCTCGTTGGTGGGTCTCCTTCATGCCCGACGCGAAGAGCGAACGGAAGAAGCGGCTTTTGGCTGCCAGGAGGAGTCCGCTCACGTGGATCTTCACCACGTTTTGTTGCCCCTCCTCGCTCGCGCTCCTCCGCTTCCTTCTTCGATCGCGTTGGCGCTCAGCACTTCCGGCGCCTTCCTCCTCTTCCTCCCTTTCTTCTTCTTCTTGCTCCTGCTCCTTTTCCTCTACCCCTTCGGCGCTTGTGTCGAGCTTTTCCTCATCGCCAGAGTCGCTCACTAACGTTCTCGCTGCTTTCCTCCTCTGCTTGGAAGATTTGATCATGACGTTTCGTTTGGGTGATGGTTGGGCCACAGCCGCCACGGCGGCGGCGGCGCTGAGGGTGCCAGCCGGCGGATGAGCGATGGCGGTCAAGGCGGGAGCTCCACCACTTTCCTCGACCATGAGGTCTTCATCGTTCAAAATCTTCCTACGTTTGGCGAGGGGACCCTCACGAGCAGATGCCACACCGCTGGTGCCTGCGCCGTCGTACGAGAGGGAGGGCGACGAGGCGGCAAAGGCCGAGGCCAGATGCTGGGCCGAGTGCTCCGGGGGCAGGGGGCCGGTTGTGAGGCAGAGCACGCGATCAGAAAACGAGGGGCAGTCGTACGCGAACGCGTAGTCCTCTACCATTGCCAACGTTGTTGCTTCTCCTGCTACCTCCATCCGCTGCGCAGGCCCAACAAGCAAAATGTTGATTAACTTTTAAATGATAAATCTTTTGTTTGCTTTTCGGCTCTGGTTTTATTTCGAGGAAAAAGTAAGTTGGCATCGCTGCGGTTTCCGCAGGCGAGAACCAACGAGGAACGTATAAGATATATATGCAGAGTTGGGCACGTGCAAGGCCCTCGCCCCAAGGTGAAGAGGCCACCCAAGGCCGCAGTTCCACAGTGAGTGAGAAACGAACTCGCGGAGAGCCCAACGCCTTCGTGGACAGCCCACCCGTTCTAAGAAATCCGGCCGAATCCTTGATCCTTCAAATTCACGGAAGCAGACCCATAATAGTTGACCACAGAATGTTGGCACAAAAGCTCACCACCTGCGGTCCCACGAAACAGAAGTGCGCAACTTTTCGGTGTGTGCCAGGAGAACAGAGGAACTTGCGGGACGCAGGCAGTGACTGACTACTCCGCGCACAGCAGCAACCAAGGGGACTCAACTGAACTTCAACGATGAGCGAGGAGAAGAGCCCGTTGCTCAACGGGACGGGCGGCAGCAGTGGCGGGGAGGGCAAACCCGGAAAGGCCAGCGTCAAGGGAGTGGACGTGGAGCGCCTGCCGGGCTACGACGGTCACTTTGCCGCCGCCCCAAAGCGGCGCAAGTATTACTTCTTCTCCAACGTGCTCTGGTACGCGACCCCGCCATCCTCTTCCTCCTCTTCCTCCTCTCTTTTCTCTTCCCCATAAGATAATAATTATCTTTTTCGGCTATTAAATAATTGGGGCATATTTTTTAGTATTCCTAGAATTCTATTTCCTTTTATGGACTGACAATTACGTGTCCTCTTACTCGGTAACTATGATCACCAATTGTAGGTACGAGTACTTCGTCCTGCTGGTGGGCATGGTGGCCTCGGCGGGCCTGGGCGCGACGCCGCTGGCGTTCTACTACTTCTTCGGCAAGCTGGTCGACTACGCCAACGACCCGGACCTGCCCGACGAGATCAGGAAGACGAGCTACTACTTCTTCGGTATTGCCGTGGTCGGCGGTATCTCGGCCTGGTTGAGCAACGCCACGTTCCTCTACGTGGGCGAGCGCGTCTCGGCCCGTATCCGCCTCGAGCTGTTCGAGGCCATCACCATGCAGGAGGTGGGCTGGTTCGATCAAACCAAGACTGGTGAGTACTCCCCCCCCCTAACGCCCGCCTTGTCGTCGCACCACCGCACACGATCTAATGTGGTTGGCGGGGTCACGTCACCAGGTACCCTCATCACGCGTCTCTCGGAGGACAGCACAACAGTGCGCGGTCTGTTCAGCGAGAAGATCGGCATGCTCTTCACCTCCATCTGCCAGTGCGTCGGCGGTCTCACGTTCGCGTTCTACTACTCGTGGAGCATGGTGCGCTCTTTGTCCGCCCCTTTCTCCCCTCAAGGCACCGAGTTGCCACAGAGACTAATATTCTCGTCGTGCAGACGTTGGTAATGCTCGGTACCGCGCCCCTGATGGGCGTCGCCATTGCCATCCAGGGCAAGCTCACTGTCACCTTCACCAAAAAGGCCTCCGACAGCTCGGCGCACGCAGTCGCCGTCGCTGAAGAGGTTCGCGCTCAGTCCCTTCCTCCCCCCCCCCAAATTCCACAGTGATCTCGTGGGTGGTGACACCACCGCGTGCGCTGCTCTCTAACATCACCGATGGGCAGGTCATCACCAACTTCAGGACTGTGCGCTCCTTTGCCGCCGAGGAGAAGGAGGTCACCCGATTCGAGAAGGCGCTGCAGAGCATCCTCAACGTCGGCTACGCCAAGGCCGGCGCGCAGGGTCTCAGTCTCGGCTTGGTGACCGCCTGGTGCGTTGATTCCCTTCTTGACGCTTGTGATTATCGTTGCGGCCTGGAATGCGATGCTGACGTCAGCTCTTCTTCCAACTCCCATTGTGTGGTACGTACGTACCAGCATCTGGGCGGCAGCTGCTTTGGCCTTCTTCTACGGCGCCTTCCAGGTCGAGGACGGCAAGATCACTCTCGGCGAGGTCATCTCCGTGTTCGGCATGATGCTCTTCGCCGTCATCGGTATCTCTCAGGCCCTCAACCAGCTGCCCGAGGTACACGCCACTCCTTCGGTCCTGCTGTCCCATGCCCGATTGTTGGCTCGGTCGTTGATTCGGGAGATGTACGACTATGGCGCAGGTGTTCAAGACGAAGGCGTCGTTTGCCATGATCGCGGAGATCGTGGAGCGGACGCCCGAGATTCCGAACAAGGGCGGCAGGAGGCTCGACCGGATCAACGGCCAGGTCGACCTCAGTAAGCTGCGCTTCAAGTACCCCACTCGCGATGCCCTCGTCCTCAACGACCTCTCGCTCTCCGTCAAGCCCGGCCAGACAGTCGCTCTGGTACCTACCACCACCGTTTTATGCCCGGCACCGTTCTATGTCCGACGAACTTCCAATGTAATCCTATTGGCCTGTTTTATCTTAGGTGGGCGAATCGGGCAGCGGCAAGTCGACGATCTTCGCGTTGGTCGAGCGCTTCTACGACCCGGAAGGCGGTCAGGTGCTGATCGACGGCGTGGACCTCCGGGAGCTCGACCCCAAGTGGTACCACCGCCAGGTCGCCATCGTGTCGCAGGAGCCCATCCTGTTCAGCGGATCGATCAAGGAGAACATCATGTACGGCAAGATGGACGCCACCGACGCCGAGGTCGTGGATGCCGCCAGAGCCGGTATGTACCACCTCCGTTCTCGCCGCACCGCAGTGCTCTAACCAGTGCCCCTCCCCACCAGCCAACGCACACGACTTCATTACGGGTCTGCCTAACGGCTATGACACTCTGGTCGGCGAGAGGGGCATCGCACTCAGCGGTGGCCAGAAGCAGGTGCGTAGAGTTAGAGCAACAATTAATTGCGGGAGGAGCTCTGGCTGACTCTTGCCTCGCCAACAGCGCGTGGCTATCGCGAGGGCCGTGCTCAAGAACCCCAAGATCCTCCTGCTCGACGAGGCCACCTCGGCCCTCGACACGGAGAGTGAGGCGCTGGTGCAGCAGGCGCTGGACAAGCTGATGGTGGGCCGAACGTCGTTCATCATTGCCCATCGTCTCAGCACGGTGCGCAATGCCGACGTCATCTACGTGCTCAGCAAGGGCGAAGTCGTCGAGCAAGGCACCCACAAGGGCCTCATCGCCAAGAAGGGTACCCACCCACACCACCCACGCTTACCCGGGTCCTTGTGGCCGAGCCCCACTATTGACTGGTCGTGGTGTATCGCTGTCAGGTCACTATCTCAAGCTGGCCACTCGCCAGTTGGCGCGCACCGACGCCGACGATGAGGACCTGGACATCGTCGGGTCTACCAGCGGCGCGGGGGTATCATCGACTGACGACGAGGAAGAAGAGAAGGGGAAGGAGAGGAGCGAGCCCGCCCTCTGAGTGCACCACCTCCCAGATAGAATTGGCTCCACAGGCTCTCTTTTGGCAATTGGGCGGCGGTGTTGCAAGCAGAACTGGAGGGAAGAAATATTTATGGAATGAAAAGCTTTTCTTTGTGGCAAGTGGTTGGCATTCCGACGTGACCTGTCTTTGTTTTGTTGGCTCAAGAAGAAAGCAGAAATGTCACCGGTCAGACCGTACGGCGCCAAACCACGAGGTGAGATGGCGCTCTTCTCGCCTTCGCAGATACAATGGGCCGGGGTCACCAGCGCGCGCTTTCACCGAGGACGTTTGTGCCTCAAGCGCCGGACAGGAGAAAGAACGAAGACGGCGTCACCATAACCACCACGAAGAACTGAACCGGCCACGCAAGCGGAGCCCTTCGCATGTCACAATCGACGCATTCGGGCGGTGTTTGGGCGTTGGGCGAGCTGGGAGAATCCGAACGTCATCCCCCCTTGCCCACCCGACGGCTGCGACGGAGGAAACCCCTCCCTCCCCAACTCGTCTCACCCACCCCCTTCGCAGCCGCGGCCGCCATCGAGACTACGGCCACCAGCACCAGCACGAGCCCAAGCTTGTATCATCAGCGCGGCTGCAACGACACCAATGATGGGTCGACGTGGAGCATCAGCCCGGCGGCTCTGGCGGAGAGTTCCGGCGGCAGCGGCGGCAGTACGGGCAGACTGCGATCGTCGAAGAGGCGCTCGACGGCGATGTACTACTGGGGCGAAGCGGGGAGCAGTATGAAGGTGCAGGTGCGGGCGGCGACCAAGCAGCTCTGCAAGAAGAGCCTTTCGACCGACGGCACACCGACGGACGCGTCGGCCAAGAAGAAGGAGAAGAAGCGGCGAAAATTGAAGCACTCTTCAAGAAGCGGTGAGGAGGAGATGGTAACAAAGAAGAAGAAGAAGAAGACGAAGACAAAGAAAGAGAAGAAGGCGAAGAAGGACGAGGCCAAGGCTACGGGCAAGGAATCGGGAGCGGAGGAGGAGACATCATCGCGGGTGTCATCGAAGAAGAAGAAAAGAGATAAGAAGGAAGCCAAGGAAAAGAAGAAGAAGGAGAAGAAGGAGAAGAAGAGGGAGAGGGAGGGCACTCGAGCGGCGAGAGCGGCGAGCGAGGGTAGCGAGAGCGGGATCAGCAGCTGCAGTAGCGCCGTGTCACCGAAGGAAACGAAGAAAAAGAAGAAGAAGAAGAGCAAGAGCCTGATCTCGGCCAAGAAGGTGCTGAAGAGTCGGTCACCCTCTGACCCACTGCCCGCCGCCGATGGCAAAGCGCGCTCGTTCATCCTCAACTTCCACCACCACCACCGGCAACACAAACGCGGGCCGCTGCCGCCGGCCAGCAGTGGTCCGACCCGCTCACGCTCGGCCACGGAAACGGTCGAACACCGGGCCACGCGCAAGTCCAGCATCGTCGGCCTCGGCGGCCTCCTCCGCCGGACCGCCACCGCCGACGGCGACAGCGAGGAGCCGGCCGCAGCGTCGCCGTTCTTCATTGAAGAGGACGGCTGTGGCGGGTTGCCGGTGGCGGACGACGAGTCGGGCGCGAGGGTGCCGGCGATACCGCTCCTGGCCCTGGACGCCCTGACCGGCGCCATGGAGCCGTCATCATCATCGGAGCCCCCGGACTCAGCAACGTCGCTGCCGCCGTCGCCGTCGCTGCCGTCGCCTGGCGGGTCGCTGGCGAGCGTGGTAGCGACGGCGGCGACGAAGACCAAGAGCAAGCGGGTGAAGGCCTGGTGCAAGAAGAAGGGGCTGGTCGACAAGCGACGCCGCAGCGGAGGAGGGCTCGAGCAGTACCAGCAGCTGGTCATGACCATGGGCGTCCTGGACGGCGATGCCGGCTCCTCGACGCCGCTCCGACACGTCATCGTCGAAGGTCGATACGCCGTCGGACTTCCTTGAACCATCTCAACAACATGCAGTGCGCTTGCTCGAATAACATGATTGTGGCGGGAGCTAAGAAGAAGAAGAAGCGTCGGTGGTCTTCTTTTTGTTGGTGGCGGTGGGGGCAGTGGTAGCGGTGGAGGTGGCATTGACGAGGTTCCATTTGGCAGAGGTGCTGTCGTAGACGTACTGCTGCCCGTCGATGGCGGACGGGTCGGCGAAGTGGAAGGTGAAGCTCTGCCCGCCGCTGGCCACCGAGTAGAACTGCACGTCGTCGCCATTGGGGGTCTCCTTCACCGCCTCCTTCAGCAGCCATGGCACGTCTGTGGCCACCGCCCACGACCGCCGTCAGCTGATGACATTACATTGCAGGTAACACTTGGGCGACGAGCGTGGTACCGAGAGTCTTGTTGGCTTCGGCCTTCAGCTGCTCGGCGTAGAACGGCAGGGCGGAGAGACGCGCGGGGTAGGCGCCCGCCTCGGCCTTGTACTGGTCGAGCGGTGCCACGAACGAATCGCAGTAGACCTGCGCGTTGGCCAAGTCCCTCTGCAGCAGATACTGCCCGCATTCCAGGTGCACCACTGCACGACACGACACATGACACGACACACAGCACACGATACACATTGGTACGCGCAGTAAAGGTGGGTGCCGCGTATAGGGTACCTTGGAGGAAGATGAGGAAGACGACACGCCACAGCACAAAGAAGAAGAACTTGGCTTGGGGTCCCTTCCTCTTGTAGCATGAATCAAAAATAAATCCTGGACATGGCACAGCGAGTGAGTGCCTCATCCTTGTGATGTGGATGTAAACGATTTAATTGTACACTTGAAATTTCATGAATTAAATCTCTTCGTACCGAAGATGGCGAGGGGTATGCCGACGGAGAAGATGGAGAGGAGGGTGAAGGTCACGTGCGCGAAGGTGCCTCGTCCATAGACCGTGCAGAACCAATTCCAGGCCACCCCCACCGCCAGCGTGCGCGCGTACGGCGCATCCAAAAAGTCGCGATTGCCTCCATCTGTTGGAGCCATTGTTTGCTGCAGCAGCAGGCGGCAACTCACTCCACGTCGCCAACAACCACGCACTACACCCTAGATCTGTGTCGATCTCTCGCTGACGTGCCCCCGCGTCTCCGCAAAATGCCGCTTACGTCACACGCAACCACTAGGAAGCAGTTCGAAGCAGCTCGAGCCGCAGTGTAGTTCAACCACACCCCGCCACCGACACAAGCACAACACGACACACTGCATAGGTGAAGGTGGCATGGGTTGGGACTGGAAAACGGCAGCGCAGCAAGCGACGACGGCAGAGCGGTGGTGGCGCACCACGCTGGCGCCGGCCACGCGGTGGTGGGTGCAGCTGGTGCTGGTGCTCGCGCTCGTGGGCCTGGCGCTGGTGGGGCTGGCGATGCTGCTGCGGTGGGTGCGCGTGCGCTGGAGGATGAGGACCCAGCTGAAGGGTCGCGTGGTGCTGGTGACGGGTGGGGCCAACGGGCTGGGTCGCCAGCTGGCACGGCAGCTGCACGCCCTCGACGCCATCGTCGTGCTGTGGGACATCGACGGTGACGCCCTTCGCAGTGCTGGTAGTCTCCTAGCCCCATTCATCTTCGCTCTCGATCAATAAGATTATTATTTCTTCATAAATAAGAAATCATTTTATTTACCGAAACATTTTATGGGCAGAGGAGGAGCTGAAGGAGAGGGTGCACACCTACCTCGTAGACCTCACCAACAGGCGCTCCATCTACGAGGTGGCCAAGGAAGTCATGAAAGACGTCGGCCCTCCGGTACACTCCACGCACACATTCCCTGGTGGTCTGTGGTGGTGTGCGATGTGGGCTCACGTGGCCATTGCTGAGGCGTGCAGGACGTGCTGATCAACAACGCGGGAGTGGTGAGCGGCAAGCCCATTCTCGAGACCACCGATGACGAGGTGCTACAGACGATGGCCGTCAACGCGCTGGCGCCGTTCTGGACCGTGAAAGCCTTCCTCCCGTCCATGAAGGAGCGCAAGTCTGGCCACATAGTCAATATTGGCTCCGTGCTTGGTACCGCCGCACACGCACAATCGCACACGCACACACGCACATGCAATGCTAACCTCTGCCTTGCCTCGATAGGAATCTTTGGTGGCGCGCAGCTGACGGACTACTCGGCGAGCAAGTTCGCAGTGTTTGGGTTCACCGAGTGTCTGCGGATGGAACTCAAGAGCGAAGGAAGCCCCATTTGCACCACCCTCATCTGCCCCTTCCACATCGACACCGGTACGCCATCGTCTTCATCCCCTCCTCCTCCCTCGTTGTCGTCGTCGCCTTCGTCTCTCAGTCTCACCAACGCACACTGCCCAACATGGAACGCGAAGGCATGTTCGCGGGGGTGACGGTGCCGTGGTACAGCCGCATCCTGTTCCCGGTGCTGAAGCAGGGCTGGGTGGCCCGGAAGGTCGTGGAGGCGATCCTGATGCGCGACGAGGTGGTCCTCCTCCGGTACCAGTTCTGGTTGGTCTTCCTGCTGCGCGTGTTAGTCCCGCCGTGGCTCGTGGATCGGCTGGGGCGAGTCTTGGGCTCCTACTATGGCATGAAGAGCTTCGTGGGCCACGCCAAGAAGCGCACCTGATGGTGATGCGCTGATGATGAGCCGACATCGCCACAGTCTTCTGTCGTCTTATGTGTGTGAAGTAAGTCACGCCTATTATTTATTAGCCACGCGCTCATCGTAGTCAATGATAAATACTCTCTCACTCTCCCCGCTTCAGGCACCACGCACTCACTTCTTCTTGACCACGTAGATCTTGCCGTTGGCGATGGTCACCACGAAAGACGATTGCGAGAACGCCACTGTGAAGACATGGAGAGCAAGAGCAGGTGAATGATGCACAGCACAGAGAGGAGAGAAAGGTGAGAAGAGGCGTCAGTCGACGTGCAAGGTTGGCTTCAGCGGGCGTGCGAGAGGAAGCAAGGTGGAGGTGATACCGGTGAGCCTCTTGAAGGGCGACTCCTTGCCGGAGTTCTTGACGATGGCATTCACGTCCTGCAGCAAGCTCACAATGATGTTCGGCAGGTCGGGATCTTCTGCCAGATCACCCGACGACTTTGATTCAAACGGGGGGGGGGGCACACGGTCAGATGGGAGCATGGACAGGAATGATTATTATGATAATTCTACTTTGAGAGTGAGTGAAGGCTTACCGAAACAACGGATCCGTCGAGGTTCAGCTTGAGGGTACCCACCTGTCCCTCCACATCGTTGAGATTGTCCTCCTGCACTCAAAATTATATTAAGAAAGAATTAGTTGCAGGTGGAATTATCTTTACTGCTATGTGTGCCCTTCGAATCAGCAGAGGCCAAAGGTACCATTTTGTGATTTCGATGTGAATGTGCGAATGTTGCTTCGCCTTTCTCGTGTAATGAAATAATAAAAGAAATTGTTATTGTTTTTCATTTCTTTTATCATTTTTTCTGCTGCTTCCCTTGACGGTCAAGGCGTGCCCTCACTTGCGCACGTGTTACACCAGGCCTTGAAGCACCACTACGTGCAGCACACAGCCATAGACACCACGCAAGCCATGTTCATGCGCAGGTACAGCCTCTCCCGCATCTTACGTTTTTTCCAAGAAAAATCGCCTTTATGCTGCAAGATGAAGGTCTCGCACGGCTATTTATTTGTCAGTTTGCCATTGTCGTGCGCGTAGATTACTTTTTAAAATGCATAATAGTCTTTATTTATTTATTTATATTTCTTCCGTTGTTGTACAGATTGACGAGAGTGAGCACCAGCAGCGCTGCCCCCACTGGCCGCACCGCCAGCGCACTCCGCGGGCAGGTGCCGTGCCGCCGCCTGCTGGCGACCTCGCCCGACGGCGACGGCATCGGCGCGCTCAAGGCCGAGCTCAAGGCGGCCGAGGACCGTGTCGCCACGCTCAAGGAGGCCATCGTGAGCCACAAGGACCCGGCCAAGAAGAGCATCCTGGTGCTGGGCGCCGGCCGGTCGTCGTCCTTCCTCATCAACTACCTCCTCCAGAACGCGGCGCGGGAGCGGTGGGCGGTCAAGGTGGGCGACGAGGACGAGCACACGGCGCGGCGCAAGGTGCGGGACCACCCCGACGGCACCGCGTTCCGGTTCAACATCAACGACACGCGGCAGCGCGAGGAGGAGATCCGGCGGGCCGACGTCGTGGTGTCGCTGCTGCCGGCGTTCATGCACCCGGTGGTGGCGGCCGAGTGCGTGAAGCAGGGCGCGCACATGGTGACGGCCTCGTACTCGGCCGCGCTGGCGCCGTTCGACGAGCAGGCCCGCCGGGCCGGCGTGACGATCCTCATGGAGTGCGGGCTCGACCCGGGCATCGACCACATGTCGGCCATGGAGGTCATCGACGCCATCAAGCGCGACGGCGGCCAGCTCACGGCCTTTCGCTCCTACACGGGCGGCCTCGTGGCGCCCGAATCGGACGACAACCCGTGGGGCTACAAGTTCAGCTGGAACCCGCGCAACGTGGTGGTGGCGGGCCAGGGCGTGTGCCAGTACCTCCAGCAGGGCGAGTACAAGTACGTGCCCTACCACCAGCTCTTCCGCCGCACCGACGAGATCCGCGTGCCCGGCCACGGCACCTTCGAGGGCTACCCCAACCGCGACTCCCTCTCCTACCGCACCATCTACGGCATCCCCGACTGCCCCACCGTCCTCCGCGGTACCTACCACGCACACACGCACACACGCACACACGCACACACGCACACACGCACACACGCACACACGCACACACGCACACACGCACACTCGCACACACGCACGCACGCACACTCGCACACACGCACGGTGTGATTGAATTGGTTGGCTTACGCATTGGGTTGGCCAGGAACGCTGCGTAAGCCGGGCTACTGCTCGGCGTGGAATGTGTTCGTGCAGCTGGGCATGACCGACGACACCTACACGATTGAGAACGCCGACTCGCTCACCTACCGCGACTTCCTCAACTCGTTCCTCCCCTACCGGCCGCACGACACTGTGGAGCTCAAGCTCGCGCACTACCTCGGCCTCGACATCAACTCGCCCGAGATGCAGAAGATCAAGTGGTACAGTCCGCTACAGTCCCGCGCGCGCACAACACTGGGCTGTCTTACTGAGACGCGCATGCGCGGTGGGCGGTGGTGTGTAGGCTGGGCATGTTTGGCGAGCAGAAGATCTCGCTCAAGTCGGCGACCCCGGCGCAGGTGCTGCAGCAGATCCTCGAGAAGAAGTGGGCGCTGCAGGAGGGCGAGAAGGACATGATCGTCATGTACCACCACTTTGTCTACACCAACAAGAACGGTACGAAGCATGTGAAAGTGCTCGCGTGTGTGTAGCGCGATTGCTCACGTGTGTGCGTGACTAGGCGAGCTCAAGGAGACGAAGAGCAGCCTTGTGGTGAAGGGCGACGGCACGGACACGGGGACGGCCATGGCCAAGACCGTGGGCCTGCCGCTCGCCGTGGCCACGCGCATGGTGGCCACCGAGCAGGTCAAGGGCAAGACTGGCGTGCACGTGCCCACGACCCCCGATCTCTACGAGCCCATCCTGCGCGAGCTCGAGAAGGACCACGGCATCATCTTCTCCCACCAGCACGACACCGTCCACCAGGCCTAACCGCGCACGGGTATTTGATGTCTTGTTTGCACTACAATCGCTCACACCAGTTCGTCTCGTTCTTTTTCTCGCCGTACGGGGAAACACTCCCACTGGACTAATATTATTGAAAACCCCCATTGGCTGGTTCGATCAGCGATAGAAGTGTAGAATGAGGTCCGGCTCCCAAAGAAGCTGCGTGTCGGGTGCCCGACAGAGAGCATTATATTTATCCTGGCCTCACCACCAGCAGAACATTCACAAACCCCAAAGTCAGCACAATGCAAGTACACTCTTCCGATGACTACGCCGCCAGGACCAGCGCGGCTGGTTGCAAGCTTGCGGTCAACCTTTTCGCGCAGCTGGACGGCGACAAGGACGCACTTATCTCTCCGCTCGGCGTGCAGCTGGCGCTGGCCGTCGTTCTGGCGGGCAGCGCTGCCGGCGAGACCGCTAACCAGCTCCTCACCGGCATGGGTTTTAGCCCTGACTTGAGTCGGGAGCAAGTGCTCTCTGCCATGGTGACTCTTGTCGCTGTACGCTCTCTCTCTCAACAACAGCGTTGTTTTGAGATAGATTTATTCAACTCCGAGCTCGTTCTTCTTCGCAGGACATCAAGCACTCGGAGAAGGCGGCATTGGTGGTGGAGAACACATTGTGGGTGGATACCACGCTGCCGCTCGACCCCGCGTTCACCGCGCGCCTGGCCGCCCTTGCCTCCGATGCCTCCGCCGCCAACTTCGCCCTTCTTGACCGGGAGCAGGTGGCGCTCAGCGCCTTTCTGGCGAAGACCAACAAACCGCGCTATCCCCCTCGGTAAGGCTCCACCTCAAGGTGTGTGGTGCCCAAATTTTGTCAAATTCTAACACGCACGACACGCGCGACACGACACGGGCAACACTTCTTCTTCTTCTTCGACAGCCCGTTCACTGATACCAACGGGTTGGCGGTGATCAACGCTGTTGGGTTCAAGGGCGAGTGGGAGAACAAGTTTCCCAGAGAGAACACCTGGGCCGCGCCCTTCCACCAGCTTGGAAGCGGCGTCGCCGTAGATGTGCAGATGATGCGCCACTCGTCGGTGTCGGTCGCACACGGCACCTTCGAGCACCACTCTATGGTGAGCCTTCCCCACGAGGCCGGCCTGCTGCGCCTGCTGGTCCTACTGCCCCACGTCAACTCGGCCGAGGCTCTCGCTGCGGTACGTAGGCTTCGAGTGGTGTGAGCTTCACTTCGCTTCAACAACTCACCGAGTGGGCGCGATAGGTGCGGGCGTCGCTGATCGGACTGAAGGAGCAGTACACGGAGCTGGCCAAGGGTCGTCGTAAGTGGGTGGAACTGCAATTGCCCAAATTTCAGGTCTCCATCGAGCAGGAGCTTTCGCCGGTGCTCAAGTCGATCGGCATCACCGAGCCCTTCGCCGAAGAGAGCGCTGACTTCGTCGGCATCACCGCCCAAAACCTGTCTGCCGACCCCGAGTACGCGCACTTCAACGCATCGCAACGCAACGCAAGGCAACGCATGACTCACCACATATTATAATACCCCACCTCAACAGGAGATCGCTGCTGCACTTGGGTAAGGTGGTGCACAAATCGCTCCTCACGGTCGAGGAAGCCGGCACTTACATAAGTGTGCCGCCCGCTGCTGGCGCCTCGGACGACAAGCCACGACTTAGCCAGCCTGCAGCCCTGCGCTTTGTGGTGGACAGGCCATTTGTGTTTGTGATCTACCACGCTCAGTTTCACTGCCCTGTCTTCATCGGCCAAGTTGTCCAGCCCACGCTGTAGACAGCACATTGCCATTAAAAAGACGTTTGAACCAGCATTTCTTCTTTCTTCAGTGATTCCGCTCTTGGTGCCCGAGTCCGGCCCACAGCATTTGCCCAACAGTGACGCACCCAAATGTGTGGAATGCTCAGTGGTCGGTGACGGCAGCAGCGAATGATGGGGTGTTGGTGTAATGGGTAGCACACAGGCCTATCAAGCCTGAGGCGCGGGTTCGATTCCTGCATACCCCTCCTTTTCACATCTAGCAAACGTGTGAACGAGGAAACACATGTTGAGGATATTGCCGTTGGTGCTTCCAGAAGCCAGCCCGGCACAACCTTGCTGCGCTTGCCGTGTGTCCAGCCCAAGTTGTTTTTTTCAAATGGGAAGACCGAGTGCTGCGGCAAATGAAGCGATGAGGGTGAAGATGAGCGAGCCCAGGAGGAAGGTGGAGTAGCAGACGCCGCCGGCCAGGACAGCAAAGGCGACGAGCGTGAGCGCCGGGGTGACGTTGTGGAGGCCCCAGACGAGGGCCTTGAGGTGGGCGGCGAGGACGTGGAAGTAGCGCGTGGAGGCGCCCAGCCGCATGGCCACGTAGTAGGGCACGAAGATGGGCACCACGATGCAGGCCATGAGCGCGATGACCACCAGTCTCAGCACCTGGGATGTGCGGCACACGGGCTGGGCCGTGATGTACTCGGCCACGTAGTCCGGGTCGATCCGGTAGTGGCCCGCGCCGTCGAGCAGCAGACCCACGTACCTGACCAACCGCAACCCACACACCTGCAGATTAGCGTCCTCGTTCTTCTTCGTTCTTCTTCGTTGCTTCGTTCTTTTCACATTCTTCCTCGTTCTTACTGGCGGCGTGGGTGAGTGGTGGGGCGCACCGTTTGGAGGGCCAGGTGTGGGGCGAGTCGACGGCGTGTCGCCCGCCCTTGGATGACTCGAGGGTGAGCGCCTTGATCCTCCTGTTGTCATACGTCGCGACCTCCACCTCCTGCACATCACCGTGAGCACCAGCTCCATCACCATCGCCCGAGAATGCTAGATTTCTGGTGGCCGCTCGCGTACCACCGGGAAGTAGCCCTCGGTGTACCCGCCTCCGCCTTCGCTCGCCAATACCCGCTGCCACTCACTGGTGTGCAGGCAATGATGAATGATGACAAGTGATGCTAGGAGCACCCTCAACAACAACAACCACAACCAACAGCAAGTGATGGGAGTGTTTTTGCACGTGCCTCGCGGTGAGGCTGTGAAGGACGCCGTGCACGCAGCAGCCCTTCTCTGGCACGATGTTGGCGAAGCTGGGCTCGAAGAAGGGGACTCCCACGTGGTCGAACAGCAGGCGATACCCCACCAGCACGCCTGCCACACTCTCCGACGGCCTATGCCGGCCCGCCAAAAATGAAGTAGTGGGTGTTGTTTTTTATTTTATTCTATCCTATTTTATTTTTATTGTTATTTTTATTTTTATTTTTATTTTTGGGTGGCGCACCTGAGCCGGCGGCGACCGAGGGTGATGGGCGACATGTTGGAGCCGTAGGCGAAGTACCAGACTCGCGTGCTTTCTCCCTCACGTTGCCCGTCAGCCTCTTTGTCCATGGTTCAGCGTGCGCACTTGTCCAATACTGCCGCTTACTTCGTGCTGGTGAAAAGGTCTCCTTTCGTATTCTGTTCGAAGTGAAAATTAACGCACGACACACAGGAGTGGTTCGCAACACGACATGCGCCTGAGGCGCACGAAGCAGTGTCCATGAGATCGGTGACAGTCTCGCCCGATCTGTCGATGGCGACCAGCTTGTCATGGTCCACCGGGCGTACGAGCATGGCAACCTCGACGCTGCGGGTTGCACAGCCGGTGCACAGAAAAAAAGGGAGGCTGTTTCTTTGGATTAAGGTCGATCACTCTGTTGGGTGGGCGAGGAAGTGCTCGTTCTCGCCCACGTAGCTGAAGACCACCTTCTTGCCCATGTAGCACTTCACGCACAGGCACAGTTCCTCGCCCGCTTCGTGTGCCCGGGTGAGCTCTTGGCGCAGACGGTCAGAAAGTATCTGCATGCCGGTCACATGCGCCATGGTTCAATCCAGCCATGTAGAGTAAGCCACACGACATGCACCTGAGGCATACAAAGCAGTACCATGAGATCAGTGACAGTCTCGCCTGTGCTGTCAAGGGAGACCAAGCTGCCATCTGGTTCAAAGTAGAGTAGCTGTGCACAGTGTTAGTATCAATATGTGCAATAGACATACTCACTGAATGCATGAGGTGTCAGATGTGAAATAGTGCACGTCTTAAGACGTACAAGCATGGTGGTCTCCTTGATGGTGGGAATGATGACATTGCGGGACTTCATGAAGCAGCCGTACAGGCCCACATGTGGACGGCCGGTGAAGATGTCCACCCCCTCCAGGTGTACTTTGTGTTGGCCCATATGCCTCACTAGGTGCTTCCGCTTGGTCATGACCCTGCATGGGTTTACTTCCCCGGTCCGGTTGTCCTCTGCGGCCACCACACTGTGGTCGGCTTACGCGATGCCATGCGCCCTATCTTGAGTGGGGGGGGGGAGTACCAAGAAGGACAATGTCCCCCGGCACCACAGCCGTAGCAGGCTTCGTTCTTTGGGCCATGTTGGTTCTTCTCCGGCCGAAAAAAAATGCCAAGATAAGAAAGGTACTGCGCGGGAAATTGGAGGAAAAGGTTTTTCCTGTTTCCACGCGAGAAAAGGGGAGAGCAAATCGCAACAACACGAACACCAGCATCAAGAAGAAATGGCGACAGCGGGCAAGCAGCAGGTCATACCAGAGAGCGAGCGACTCAACGTCGCGGTGGGGTTCATTAATCAGATCGAGGCGCGTCGGCTGGTGCAGCTGCTGACGCGGGTAGTGCGCGGGCTGCACATTAAGAACGGCCGCCCCTTCAATGCGACCGAGGAGGAGCAACTCCAGAAGGTGTTCGGCTTCAGCGCCTCCGAACTGCAGCTTGTCATCGACTCGTGCTCCTTCATCTTCGAACGTGCCGCCTACTTCTCGCTCGCAACTTCCGCGCGGCTCGGGAACGAGCTCAGCCAATCGCTCACATCGCCCTCTCTCGGCGATGATCAGTTGGCCGCCTTCAAACACGTGTGGGAGCACGAGCGAGAGGGCTTGCTCGACAAACTGAGGCAGCACTCGCTCAGCCCTCACCAGCTCGACAAGATCCATTGGCGACTGCAGCTCGTCGTGCCTCCGGCCCCACCTCCCTCGCAAGACCCCGCCCCCACGCAGCAGCCTGGCAGCAAGAAGAAAGGCGACACTGGCAAGCAGCATCCGATCCCACAGCCCAGCGCCATCTTCCAGATGCGAATCAACAACGCGAATGCGGTCGACGAGGAGGACGGCAAGGCGGAGGAGATGGTGAATGTCGAGTTCAACCACGCCGAACTGTACAGCTTTTTCAACAAATTGGAGGCCATCCAAGAGCAGCTTGATGCCTTGGGCTGAGCCAAACAACGGCAATCCTCCTTGTATCATCAGTCCACCACCAAGAAAGGGGGGAACCGCCGCGAAGAGGATGATCGTTTTGAAGAGCTTGTCGGCACTGGGATCGTGTATATATTGAGGCAGTGAAACACACAACGCAGAGCTTACTTCAGCTTCTTCTTGGGGCGCAGCTGGTTGCTGTGTCCGCACTTCTTCTTGCGGCAGTTTACCGCGCGGGGGTGAAGGCGAGCGTAGCACTTGCGGCAGACAACCTTGTCGCAGTTGTACTTGCGGGCCAACACCTGGAGCGAGGGCTCAATGACGCCACCCCTGAGACGGAGCACCAGGTGGAGGGTGGACTCTGCATGCGTTCAAAAAACAAGGTCACCCACCAGCCAGCATTGAGAAGGAAGATATTGAGAGCATAGCGCACCCTTCTGGATGTTGTAATCAGCGAGGGTACGGCCGTCCTCAAGCTGCTTGCCGGCGAAAATCAGACGCTGCTGATCCGGAGGAATGCCTAGCGAGGGAAACGATCCGTCAGCACATTACCATCAAATTAGAGATGTAAGAGGCAGCATCTAAGTATAACGTACCCTCCTTGTCCTGGATCTTCTGCTTGACATTCTCGATGGTGTCGGACGACTCGACCTCGAGGGTGATGGTCTTACCGGTGAGGGTCTTCACGAAGATCTGCATGGCGATGGCCTCTGCTGCTGCCGCGTGAGACGATAGAGGAGGAAAAGGAAGAAAGAAAACTAAGCCGCACCGAACCATGATTTTTCCCCATTTAACCTTCAGCTACCTTAAGGGAAACACCCCCGAGAAATAGAGAAGAAAACAGTTTTTCTAATATTTCTCAGCAGGCTTTACGCGCAGCTGAGGTTGTGGGTGTACCGCCGAAGGCGTTCTTCGTTCTTTCGTAGTTGGCGCTTCACCCCACCTTGGACGTAGACGTCGGTGGTATCATCGTGTGACGGCCTTCCGTCGCGACGACAGGGCAACCTTGGGCTTCGCGCTTGGACTGAACACGCTCACGGTCTTCTTTGCTCTGCCGCTCCTGCGTGCTCGGAGGGTCATGTCCCTGGCGTCGCTTTCATCAGCTGCCAGCTGTGCATCCGCCTCTCGCTTCGCCTTCTTCGTCGTCTCGTTGTTCTTGTTGTTGGTGTACTCGCTTCGCCGGTTAGGATCGTTCTCCTTGTTGGCGCCACTGTCGGCGGCCAAGAATGAAGGCGGTGGCGGTCGCTTCCGCTTGGCCAGCCTAATGACCTTCCTTACCTCCGCAGCCGGTTGTGAGGGCGTGCCCTCGGGCTTGCTCGCCTCCACCGAAGACCTGGGCGTGGTCGGCTGGCTCGTGGGCGTGGTCGGATAGCTCGTGGGTGTAGTCGGCCTGGCCCGCTTGGGCGTGGGCTCGCCTTCCTTGAGGTCGGCCGGCTCCTCGTGGTCGGCCAGCTTGGCGGTGAAAGAGGGAGTGAAAGGCTGCGGCGGCTTCACAAACGATCGCCTGATCCCCGACGGGCCAACCATGCGGTAAGGCGACGCGGGCACAACGAATCCGCTCGGCGACCTGGTCGTGGGCGAAGCCGTGCTGCCGCTGGCGCCGGACCGGCTGGCCGAAGGAGTGGGTGGCGCACAGGTCGCCAGCGCGCGGGCGTGAAGGTCCTTCGGTATGCCCTCGAGCCCCTCGGTCGAGACGGCGACACACCGCTCGGCGCTGAATGCCGCCGGCGCCTCCTTGAGCGGGGCGAAGAAGGGGTGGTTGAGGAGGGCAGCCGGCCGGACGCCCTTGCGCATCAGCCTCTGCAGACTTTGCAACTCCTGCACACGCGAGTGTACGCAAGGGGCCATTGATAAGGGCAACACCCTAAAAAGAACGTGACGGAGTGGACGCTACCTTGTGGTTGGGGTCGTTGTCCCTGTCGGGATCGAGATTCTTCCAGGGCCAGCCGACGACGCTCATCACATCGACATCTGGTCAATGGCCATTCGCAAAGTGGTAAATCAACGGCACGCCAAGCGGATCTATGCCATGGACCATCACTGCCGCATACCTGGGGAATACTCCTGCCCGAGGGCGTTCTTTGTGTTGCACAGCGTCTCTCCTTCCTCCGTGGTGATGCGGCTCAGCCCAAAATCTAACATTGACCCAAATTAGTCGAGGATGCTATCATCATCGAGCCGAGAGCCGCGGTCGAGAAGAGCTTGTACGCACCAGCTATCTTTACAATGCATGTCTGGTTGTAGTAGGCCACGCCCTTGTGGTAGTAGACGTAGCACCCATCCTCCATCGGCAACGAACACAAGAGGATGTTCTTGTGGTGGAGGTCTGAACAGTGTGGGCCGCCCCGATCAGCAACGCACACTTTCGGACACGCTGGGGCTGTTAGGGTACCGTAGTGGCTGAAGGAGAAGGTCTTGCCGGCCACATGCAGCGCGTAGAGAACCTGGGTCCAATTGAACACGGTGAGCAAGACGACGCAGGCCCAGCGAGCGGGCGAGAGAGGAGGTGGGCGTCGTTACCTGCCAAAGGATCTCTCGGTACTGGGCGAGGTCGACCTCCCTGAGGCAGTTGGCCAGCGTCTTCTCGCCATACTCGAGCACGAAGTGCATGAACTCGTACTTGGCGGGGCTCTCGTGGTCCCGAAGAGATCTGCCGCGCTTGCCTCGAGGCGTCGTCGGGGCCTTGGTGGGGGTGCCGCCCAGCCAGCCCATATTGGTGGATGATGGAGAGGGCGACGAAGATGAAGATGAAGGTGCGATTCTCGATGGTGTGGCGAAGCCGGGTTCCACGTAGGTTTCGCACGAGTTCCAATCGTGGAGAAGGACGAAGTTGCCGCACATCGATCGGTAGACCAATTTCTTGAGCTCTTCAGCGATTTTCTGTTCGCGTACCGCCCTGTTCTTGGCCTCAGCGGAGATGAGGGCCTGTCGCTTGATGGCATAAAAACGACGCTTTTCGTGGGGCGCACGTTGGCGCGTGGATTGGACGATGAACACATCCGAGTGAGCGCCCCCTCTCCTCTTCTTTTTCTTGGTGTTGCCGTCTCCTGCGCCCAATGACGATGGCGAGCACTGCGTGTATTGGCTTAGCCACCTCCTCGGCGTCGCCACGCCCTTGGCCTTCCACGGCGAGAACTTCACCTCCATAGAGTTCCTGAACGATGTTTCTTTGGGGGGGGGGTTGATGGTCTGATCTTTCTGCGTTGCGTTTTGGTCTGCCCCGAAAAAAATTACTTTCCCGCCAAAACGACCAAAGCAACGTTACGCTTTTCTGTCGACCACTTTTCGTTCCTGCATTCCTGCCTTGGGCGGAGGTGGGGCGATGCGCCCAAGTTACGAGGAAGATGGATGAAGAGAGGGAAAAGGGTAAAGAGGTGCCAGCGGCAGGCGGTGAGAGCGAGAGCAAGAGCGAGGAGGCGAGTAGCAGCGAGGAGGATGCGCCGAGCGTGGTAAGGGAAGGGGAGGACGAAGAGGAGGAAGAAGCGCGGGATATTGGACGACAACGCTCCACAAAGGGGAAGGACAGCGAAAAAGAGCAGCCAAACGCTTCCAAGTGGCAGGCCTGCAAGAACTTCGCGCGCTCCCTCAAAGACCCCAAGAAGCTGCTTCGCAGGAAGCCTCGTCCAGTTACGTCTCTCTGACCTGCGGTCTTGGTATTTCATTTATTTTGTTTATTTGTCATTTTCCATTATTTGTGTGAAATAATTTTATTCCTTTATTTGTGCATTGATGGGTAAAATGTTCTCATGATATATATATCGTCATGGGCTCCGTCGTACAGTTGGAAATTGAGATCAATAATTGGGTGGTGAACAAGGCAAAGGGCTACCCCAAGAACCGCTTCACCACGTCCAAGGTATCACACTTGGCACACACCTGCCAATCAGCAGCGTTGCCGACCAACTGACTGACCATCTGGCATTGGCCTAAACCGCTCGTGCAGTACACGTGGTGGTCGTTTGTTCCCAAGACCATCTACGAGCAGTTCCGCAAGTTCTCCAACTGCTACTTCCTCCTCGTCATCATCATCCAGTTCATTCCCGTGCGTATCTCTGCCTCGCTCTCTCCACCCGTCGGCGCTTCATTGAAGCCTCCAGGCCCCGCAGCTTCTACTGCTTCGCTTGACTCTCACCACCATCCTGTGGGTGCATGGAATGCAGGGCATGTCTCCGTTCATCCCGGTGGCCAGCGTCATTCCACTGGCGTTCGTCATCCTCATCTCCGCTCTACGCGAGCTTGTAGAGGACATCTTTCGCCACATCGAAGACAGGAAGAACAATCGGTCCGTGCCTCCAATCACCCACACTTTTGCCTCACCATTTGTTTGGGCAACCGTCTAACCTGGACATGGTGCGACACCTGTGTTGTATATTATTTACCCAGAATATTGTATCGCATGCTCCGTGACCCTGCGGTGCGTGGCAGCAGCCCCCCTGTACCGCTGTTCTTGAGCTGTGGTGTACCAACCGTTGTGGTGGTGGTTGTGTTCCAGGAGGGCTGGCGAGAGACGCGGTCGCAAGACTTGACGGCGGGCGACATCGTGCAAGTGAACGATGCGCAGCAGATCCCGGCCGACATGGTGTTGCTCTCCTTGTCGCATCCCAAGGGCTCGTGCTACATCACCACGGCCAACCTTGATGGGTGCGTCACCCATGTTTTCTCTTCTTGCCATGATCATCGCTCTGACGGCCAAGTGATGCATGGGTCGTGTGTGTCGTGTGTGTCGTGTGTGTCGTGTGCGTGTCTACAGTGAAACAAACTTGAAGCTGCGCAGCGCGTTGGATGTGACGGCGAGGCTCGGGGTGGACGAGGATCAAATGCTAAAGCTGCGCGGGCTGGTGGAAGCTGAGGCACCGAACGAGCACATCTACCACTTCATCGGGCGGTACGCCATGCCGGGGGACACCAAGACCTCCGACCAGGGCACTGAAGACGAGATCGAAATGGGCGAGCTCAACAAGTCCGAACCGGGCACGAGTGAGAGGAAAGTGTTTCCTCTCGGCAACGATCAGCTGCTCCTGAAGGGCTCGCAGCTTCGCAACACGGATAGCGTCTACGGCCTCGTCGTCTACGCAGGGAGGGGTAAGCGGACGGCACACTTGAGACACGACAACACGAGACACACACCGTGAAACACATGAGCGCTCGTGTTCGTCTAATCGCGTATGTGTTTGCGCTCGTAGATACCAAGCTGGCGCTCAACTTGCACAAGCCGCCCAGCAAAATGTCCACAGTCGACCGTACCCTCAACGTGTGGGTACTGGCCATCTTTGTGGTGCTCGCCTGCCTGGTGCTGCTGCTCGCCATGGGCAGCATCATCTGGGATGTACGCAGTCTTCCAACCCTCCCCCTCAAGTCCAGTGTTCGCGGCTTGCTGCTTCGCACGAATGACACCTCTTCCACGTCGTACGCAGAATGACGACCGGGGTCCGATGTGGTATGTGGACAACCCCTACAGCGTCGGGGTCTACTTCATCAGGAACGTGGGGACCTATCTTATCCTCCTCTCCAACTTTGTGCCCATCTCGCTGTGGGTGACGATCGAGCTCATCAAGGTGGGCCAGTCCAAGTTCATGAGTCCGTACCACCACGCCGCCCTACTTTCCTTCCTTCACAGCTCCACCACCGCCACCACCGCCCTCGCGCGCCTCTGACCTGCTTCTCTCCACGCGTCGTCGAAACAGCGTGGGACAACCACATGCGATCAGAGGAAGGACTGCCCATGCGAGTCAAGACCAGCAACCTCAACGAAGACCTCGGCCGCATCCAACACATTTTCACCGTACGTTACCCCCGTGCAGAGCGATGGGCTGCCCTTGGGGCTGTCTGACCCAATCTGTGGCCCTGCAGGACAAAACGGGCACACTGACGGAGAACGTGATGGAGTTTGCCAAGTGCTCCATCGACGGAGTCAAGTACGTCGAGGCGCGCTACGAAGCGAGCAGCAAGCGACGGAAGAGCCAACTCCAGCAGTCCGGCGGTCAGCCCGCCGAGCTGGGCTCTGACGTCTCCTCCGTGGGCGCCACTGGAGAGGACGCGGAGAAGACCATCGGGCCGGTCGGCAAAGTCATACAGGTCAGTGGCCACCTTTCCATAAATTCCCTCTACTCGTAGCACTCGCGGCCGTGGTTACGCCTGTCGGGCTGGTCGAGGCTGCTGACATGATGGACCACGGTTCGTTCATAGGGTCTCTTGCCGGAGGAACTGGAGGAGCACCCCGTGTACAATTTTCTGCAAGTTCTCACCCTTTGCCATGCCGTCGTCCCCGAGCGAGACAAGAGCACCGACCGTACGCCTGCCCACTACCACTACTACAAGTCAATACTTGGATAACTCATAACACCCTATCTTTGATTCGTTCGCTGGAAACAGAGCTCATCTATCGAACGCCGTCTCCGGATGAGAAGGCGCTGGTGGAGGCTGCGCAGAAGAACGGATTCACCCTCCTGCAGCGCACCACCGACCACCTGACCGTCGAAGAATTCGGTGTGTGCCAACTCCTCGCACACATCATCACTGCGCGCTCCTCCCTCTCCGTCTCATGGTCCATTCCCTCCACGACAGGCGAGCCGGTGACCTACGAGGTGTTGGCCACCCTCAACTTTGACGCCGCGCGGAAGCGCATGTCAGTGATCGTCCGCAGTCCGCACACCAACAAGGTGTACCTCATGGTGAAGGGCGCCGACGACGCCGTCTACCAGCGTCTGGCCGACAACGACGCCAACGCCAGCCGAAAGGTACGTGCCCATTCTCGCGATCGTCCGCTTTCGTTAGAAGGTGTGTGTGGCGCATCTTATGAGGCCACCCTGTGCGTGTAGGACGTGACGGCCAACCACCTCCAGCGCTTCGCGCGTACCGGCCTGCGTACGCTGGTGGTCGCGTATCGCGAGATCGACGAAGAGGAGTACATTGCCTGGAAGGCGAGCTACGACGAAGCCTACACCGCCATCGAAAATCGAGAGGAAATGGTTCGTTTACCCTCCGCCCCTCTGTTGTTCCCCGAGCGTCGGCTCGATGTGAACTCACATGCGTGCGTGCATGGTGTGCAGTTGAACGCGACGTACGAGACTATCGAAGACGGTCTCACCCTGTTGGGCTGCACTGCCATCGAGGACAAGCTCCAGGACAAGGTCCCAGAGACCATCGAATTCCTTCTCCAGGTATTCATCAACAGAAGACAACCACGTCAACAGTCGAGATATAGTTCAGACTTGATGTTCGGCTTGTTGACCTCTGACGTGCGGTGTCAGGCCGGGATCAAGATCTGGATTCTAACGGGCGACAAGCAAGAAACGGCGATCGAGATCGGGCACTCGACCAACCTGCTCAAGAGGGGCATGAAGCTGATCACGATCAACGCCCACTCCAAGGAGGCGTGCAGGGACATGATCCAGCGCGAGCTCGTCGCCTACGGCCTCAAGACTGCCGAACAGATCGAGCAGGACAACCAGCGACGGGACGCCGGCAAGAAGCAGCGGTTCGTGTGGCTGCGCAAGTGGCTTCACAGGCACCTTGGCCGGTACGCATCACTGCAGATAGCTTCCACTCGCGCTTGCTCTGGTCTTGACTTATGCGTGCGCAACGGACCGCAGGCGCAAGCCCAAGCCACAGGAACCGGTGTCGCTGGTGATCGACGGCGAGACGCTGAGCTACGCTCTGCGCGAGGACGTGCTCGAAGACTTCATCCTCCTCACCAAGATCTGCCACTCAGTGGTGTGCTGCCGCACCAGTCCACTGCAAAAGGTTTGGCCTACACCCATCTCGGTGACTTGATGACGCCAGCCGAACTAACCGGTCACTGCGAACCTGACGACAATGATCATTGACAGTCGCTGGTGGTGCGGTCGATCAAGAAGGGCGAGGGCAGGATCTGCCTGGCCATCGGCGACGGAGCCAACGACGTGTCAATGATTCAAAAGGCACACGTGGGCGTGGGCATCTTTGGCAAGGAGGGAAACCAAGCGGCTCGAGCCGCCGATTACGCCATCCACCAGTTCAAGTACGTCCGCTCCAAGCTTGGCGGTCCATCACTCGCTACTCACCCACTCTCTCTGATCGCTCTTTACCCGCGCAGACACCTCAAGCGACTGTTGTGCGTACACGGGCGGAAAAACTACATCCAAGCCACGGGCCTGGTCCAGTTCTTCTTCTACAAGAACATCTCCTACAACCTGCCGTTCGTGTGGTACTCCTTCTTCAACGGGTTCTCAGCCCAGGTACGTTCCACCCAGCGTCGTCCGTCCGTTTGGCTCTTCGTCAAGTGCTGACCGACAGAGTGTTGATGTTGGTGCCGTGTGGAATTCCACACAAAAGACGATATACGATTCGTGGGTGATCGGCTGCTTCAACGTGTTCTTCACGTCGCTGCCGCCCCTGTGCTACGGCGTGTTCGAGCGCGACCTCCGGGACGAAACGATCGACAAGTACCCGCAGCTCTACCGCCGCCTGCAGAAGGGCCAGCTCTTCACGCCCCTCACCTTCCTCTCCTGGCTGGCCGACGCCGTGTGGGAGTCCTTGGGTGCGGGCTGCCTTCGGCCGATTCCCTCCCACTTCCCCTGTTGTGCGCTCACCCCGCTCAAATCTGCTTTCTTCCGTCACACAGTGGTGTTCTTCGCCGTCTACTTCATGTTCCAGAACGACGTGCTGCTGAGCGATGGCGAAACGCTGGACTTGTGGTCGTTTGGCATTTTCGTGGGGACGTTCATTACCATGTTCATCAACTTCCGCCTGTTCCTCTACACCAAGTGCGCATCTATTCTCTCCTCCTCTCTTATGCGAGAAGGCCTTCACTTCGCTCCACCTCTCACCGATCTTCGTTGGCTGGCGCAGTGAATGGAACTGGCTCACGCATGTCATCAACTGGCTGACGATTGGGTTCTACTGGGTCTTCATGCCGGTCTACGCCACGTTCAACTTCACGCCCTACTTCACCAACCTGCACGGCGTCTTCTGTACGCGCTTTGCTTTGCTTTGCTTTCAACTGTGAGATTTCCTGACCACTTCTTGACTCGCGCTCGGTGGTGTGTGCGACAGTCATGTCTGGGCGAACCGCTTCGTTCTGGTTCCTCTTCCTCGGCACGGGCGTCGTTGCGCTCCTCCCCGACGTGGTGGCCAAATAGTACGTTCACCTTCCATACACACCACCACGACGGATCCCGTGCCAGACCCCGGCTGAACGCTTTGTTTGTGACAAAGCGTGCGGCACATCTACTTCCCGGATGACTGGGTGATCCTGCGGGAGGCCGAGAGAATCAAGCCGCCGCCCGACGGCAAGTGGCGCAAGCGGTGGCACGCGCTCTCGCGAACACGACCCTATCGCGGTGATGCCAGCACCACCACTCACAACGACGCCCACGATGGTCACTGACCACGCGACAAATACGTACGCACGACCAAAACACCCAAAGCCCAACCTTTTCCGCCTCATGTACATTTCCGGGCACCTCTTCGCTTTCTTTCTTTTCAGGGTAATTAATTTAATTTCGCGGGGGGGGGTAACCGTTCTTTTACCACGGCAACTCAGAGCAGGGCCACCGCAAACAACGAAAAAAAGAACGGCCACCAACTCTGCCGCCAGAGGTGCTCGCTGGAGAAGTACATTCAGCGGTGGTGGATTGGATTTGATTTTTTGATTCAAGTTCATCTCTCCACGTAGTGCCGAGATTTTGATTTTGAGTAGAGTGAAGCGATTCGAGAATGTTGGGGTCGAGCAAGAGTGCTACGGCAGGCGAGGCGAGGCAGGCGGTGGTGCAGGGCGCGGGTGGGAGGAAGGACAGCAGGGAGTCGCGAGATGACAGCGGCGGGAGTGGCAAGAAGGAAAAGAAAAAGGAGGAGAGCAAGAAGGAGAAGAAGGAGATGGAGAAGCGCGAGAAGGAGCTCGAGCGACAGAAGAAGGAGATCGAAAAGGAGAAGCGCGAGCTCGAGAGGCGCGAGAAGGAGCTCGAGAAGAAGAACAAGAAAAAGAAAAAGGACGCCGACAAGGAGCTCATCAAGAAGTCCTCTTCCTCCTCCTCACCCGCCCCCTCCCCTTCTTCCGCCACTTCCACTTCCACTTCTTCTTGTTCCTCCTCTTCTTCCTCATCATCTTCATCTTCTTCCTCTACTTCATCTCCATCATCGGCCGGCTTGCTGGGCGTTCCCTACGTCCAGAGCGAGAGACGCCGGAGCGGCAGCTGGATCCGCCCGCGGAGCCTCAAGTTCAAGAAGGCCAGCGGCGTCAGCAAAGGGAAGGGCGACTCGGTTGAGTTGAGCGGCGGCAGCAGCGCTGAGCTCAACTCCAGCTACCCGCCGTCGCCCAGTTCGAGCGGGCCGCTGTCGCCGACCACCACGCCGTCGCCGGCCAGCCCCAGCCGCGGCGCACGCGGGCCGCCGTCGCACGGCCAAGACTACGAAGGGCGCGCGGCGGGCGTGGTGCAAGAGGCGGCGGTGCGGAGGAGCAGCGGAATGGTGACGATGGCGGCGGTGGAGGGAGGCGGCGGCGGCGGCGTGCGGGCGTCGATGGCCGACGGATCGCTGCTGGAGACGCTGAAGCGGCTCAAGTCCAACGACCGCGACCTGACCGAGTTCAAGACGCCGCCCACGATCATGCAGGAGCTGCAGGCGTCGACTCTGGAGCTCATCAAGATCATCTCCGACTGTCTGGTCTTCAACACGCACCTCAAGGTCTGCACCGCATTCTCCGCTTTCGTTCTTTCTCTCTTCTTCTTTCGTTCTTTTGGAGCCGAACTCACTTCGCCACGTGCCGCGCAGAAATTGGATCTGTCGGGTTGCGAGATGAAGGAGGTCGAGGTGAAGCTGCTCGCAGAGGCGCTTCGCGTGAACTCGACCCTCGAATACCTCAACATCACGTGGTGCAACCTCGGTGATGCTGGATCGGCTGCCCTCGCAGGTTTGTTTCTTTTCCCCCCTCGTGATGCAGACATGATGCTTGCTCAATCGCTAACCCATGTGTGCCCCGCCTCTGTGCAGCTGGCTTGGGAATCAATGAGGGGCTCAAGGTGGTGGACATGCGCCACAACCGAATCACGGCCAAGGGTCTCCACGCCATCGCTTCGTTCCTTCGGACCAACATCACGCTGCTCGAGCTTCTTCTGTCGAAATCCGAGCAGCTGCTCATCGCCGGCGACGATCTCATCTTCGACGACTCCGACAACTCGTCCCTCGTCGACCAGGAGCACCGAGACAAGCACAGAATCGAGGAAATCCTCCTCTCCAACAAAACCCTCTCCAAGGTAGAGTAGAAATCCAACACTTTGACACCACACCACACCACACCACACCACACCACACCACACCACACCACACCACACACCACACCACACCACCATCGCTATCTATGCTATTTGCTGATGTTGAGGCACTCTACTGTCCTTGCACAGTGCTTCTCGGGGGAGAGCAAGAAGGTGGATCTGAGCGGGCGTGGGATGGAGAAAGTGCCATCGCTGTTCTTGGTGATCCCCACCATCGTGTCCCTCGACCTTTCGCACAACCGACTCAAGTACCTGCCTCGGGGCATCAAGCAGCTCACACGCCTCGAATTCCTCAATCTGTCGCACAACCAGCTGCAGGAGGTGCTTTTCCTTTGCGTACATGGGGCGCGAGCGCGCTGGTCGGCTAACGTATACGATTTTCTCTCACCCGCAGCTGCCGCTCGAGCTGGGCACGCTCCATACGCTAAAGCATCTCGACGTGCAACACAACAACCTGACCGAAGTGCCGCTCACGCTCAACTTGTTGGACAATCTGGAGGTACTGGACATCAGCCACAACAACATCTCCTTCCTTCCCGTCAGCCTGGGCACCCTGCCCAGCCTCAAGGAGCTCCACGCCCACAGCAACCCACTGCCCTACCCCAAGGTAACGTCACTCGGAGTTAAAACGCCGGCAATGCCCACCTCCCGTACCATTAATTTAACTCCTATTACAGAAAGTTGTACTGTCATCGGCGGGCACGGGCGTGCTATCGTATCTGCGGGAAAAGAACAGCGGCAGCGCGCTCTGTCACCGAATCAAGCTGATGTGCGTCGGTCAGGCCAACGTGGGCAAGACCTCGCTCGTCGAGAAGCTGCTCAGCAAATCGGTCACCAAACCAACCGAATCCGAGTCCGGATCAGCCCGCGCCGCCGGGCGTAATGCCCACCCGGACGACCAAGATCTCGGCACATCGGGCGCAAGCGTGGGCGCCGAAGTCAACAACAAGGCCTTGTCAGCGGTCAAGCGCACCGATAGCGAGCGCAATCGGCGATGGAGCTACTCCGAGGTGGAGCACGGCAAGCTGGCCCTCGTCAGCAGCGGCGGCGCCAGCGGTGGTGACGAGTGGGATGGCAACGACAAGTCGTCGAGTCCGGCCAGCAAGGCCCGACGGCGCCCGGGCAAGAGGCTCGACGTGGCCACCGACGGCATCCGCATCCGCGACTGGACCGCCAAGTCGATCAGCCGCAAGGACTCCTCGGCCAAGGCCGACAAGAAGGACAGCAACAGCAGCAAAGCGGAGGGCAGCAAGGAGAACATCATCACCTTCTCCTCGTGGGACTTTGCCGGGCAGGAGATCTACTACTACACCCACCTCTTCTTCCTGTCGCGACGGGGCATCTACCTCCTCATCTTCAACCTGCTCAAGCCCGAGGAGGAGGCCTCGCGCATCGAGTACTGGCTCCAATCCATCCACACTCGCGCTCGCGGTACGCTCCCGCACCACCGTGGAATGTGTGAAATGCGATCGACAGATTCTCACTTGGCGGTGGTGGTGCAGGAGCGCCCGTCATTCTGGTGGGCACCCACCTGGACGCGAAGAAGTGCACGAAGAAGTATCTGGACCACCTCTACGCCAACCTCCTGCAGAAGTTCAGCGGCCAGTTCAAGAACATCCGCTTCTTCTTCGCCCTGAGCTGCGCGACGGGCAAGGGCGTGGAGGACCTGCGAAAGAAGCTGATCGAGGTGGCGCAGAGCATGATCGAAAAGGAGGGCCTCATCCCGCAGTCCTACCTCACTCTCGAAGAAAAGGTGCACATTCCACTCATTTCGCTATCATTTTTTTCCCTTTCAATTATACGTCCGAACGCGACCTCACTCGTGTGTGCAGATCCGCGCGATCGCGATGCTGGAGCCGCAGCCGGTGGTGAGCTGGGAGATGTTCGAGCGACTCGCGCTGAGCAGCGGCGTAACACAGCCGGTGCTCCCCAAGGCGGCCAAGTACCTGCACCAGCTCGGCTCGCTGGTCCACTTCAACGAACGCGAATCCGGACTCGACGACCTCGTCATTCTCGACAGGTACCCACTACCGCTCTTTCTTTCTTTATCGTCGCGACTGAATCTTTTGGTTGACGCATCTTCTTTCCTCATCACTATGGCCGGCCATCGACACGTGCGCAGCCAATGGTTGACGAACGTCTTCAGCGACGTGATCACGCTCAAGCACAATTTTGTCAAGTCCGGGGTGCTGCAGCGCAAGGACCTGCCGCAGATATGGAAGGCTCCGGCCTACCCCGAGACCGTACACGACTCGCTGGTCGCCCTCCTCGAACAGTTCGAGGTTGCCTACGCCCTGCCGCCCACAGGTTCACTCACCCGCCCAACGATAAAGCTGTTCAATAGGTGATGCTAATGCAGTAGTGCTGTGGTGTACAGATACCAATCCACAAGGCGCGATACTGGTGCCGTGCCTGCTGCCGGACGCGCGCCCGGCAGACCTGCACAACCCGGACCTGTGGCCCAAGGAGGAAAGCGACCTCGTGCAGCTATTCCGCTTCTATTCGTTCGATTTTATGCCATTCGGCTTCTTCAACCGCTTCATGGTCCGCCTCTTGCGCTCCGGCTGGACGCTCATCAGGTACCACGCACACGCACACAGCGTGCCACTTGTGCCATTCATACTCAACGTCCCTGGTCCAGGTGTTGGAAGAACGGGATGTTCTTTGCCAAGGGCGACGACAAGCTGCTGCTGGAGCTCGACATGGAGGTGGCCTTCCGGCTGAAGCTGTGCATGCGGGGCACAGCGCCATCGCGACAGATGCTGGTGCTGACCGCGATGATCGACACCCTCATCGCCGACTGGCTGCGGGTAGATGTCAAAGTCACCATTCCGTGCACCCACTGCATCAACGGTAGACCGGCCCTCCCCCAAACAGCACACTGCACGTTGGACTGACGGTTCTTTTCTGGCTCCTTCGCCACTCTGGAATGCAGAGAATGCCCAGCCTTTCCTCTTCACGCAGTCGCAACTGGAGCAGGCGGTCGCCAAGGGCAAAACGGTAACGAGCGGGAGTTTGTGGCGGCGTTGTGACGTGTCCTGTCCTCCCACTGCACTCATCCATCGATGTTTTTGTTTGGCAGGTGGTCAACTGTCGCGGAGTGGACGTGGTGGGCATATTTGCGCTGGCGCCCGACCTCGTGATGCTGGACCTCAACCGCATCATCGTCAAACAGGAGGACATGCGCATCATCGACCAGCTCGCCCTCAACAACCGCACCAAAGTGTACGTGGCTGGCTGCGGCCAGCACGGTTCAGTAGGCGGGGGGTTAACTAACGACGCACGCATTGCGCATTGTCGGTGATAACCAGATTTAAGGCGCAGCTGGGCGACGAAACGGTGGTGGTGAAGCAGTTCCGCGAGGAGTCTCTTTCGGCGAGCAGCCTCTCCGCCACTGCCGTCTCCAACGAATTCCGCGCTCAAGTGTGGGAAATCGGGTTCGTACACTACCGTGCGTGTGTGCGGTGGTGCGTGTGCGCACGCGCTGGCTGACGTCACCAAATGCGCAGTGGTCTGGAGCATCCGAACATCGTCCCGCTCCGAGGTATGTGCGAGGACCCTTTCAGTCTGGTGATGGAGCACGTCGAGGGACCCTCGCTCGAGACCTTCCTCGCGGACCCCGCCTCCCACCGCCTCGTGCCCCTCGACTGGAAGTTCCGCATCAAGGTTGGACCGTGCTCCTCCTCTCTGACACCTCCTGTACATTTAAGCTCACCACTATTCGATTCTCTCTCCCTCTCTCTCTCCCGTGTGTGTGTGTGTGTGTGTGTGTGTGGTGTGTCGCACAAGATCGCGGCTGACATTGCGCGTGCGATGATGTTCTTGCACAACCTCACTCCTCGAGTCCTCAATGGCCGGCTCACCTCCTCCAACGTTTTGGTGCGCATCCACTCGACGCTTTTCTCTGTAACTTCCGAAGTCAAGTTGGTGGTGGCCTCGGTAAACTCACGACTGTAATCGTCGCCACGACAGCTCGCAATGGAGAATGTGAGCCAGGAGTCGGTGGTGGTGGCCAAGATCGCCGACTTTGGCCTCTTCTGGGCTCCCTTCTACGTTGAGAACCGAGGTACGCTCACACGTGCGCGCACCTGATGAAGGCTGCAACTCAATCACCATTTTTCTCGTCGCCTTGGTTTCAGAGGATGCCCCATATTGGCTGGCGCCCGAGGTGCTGTCCAAGCAAAAGCACACCGCCCAGTCCGACGTACCCTCCATCCATCCCACAGTGCGCGCCCGAGCTTCGCTGCTAAGTGCCATCTTTGTGTTCGACACACCTACACACATTTGCAGGTTTACTCGTACGGTACGCTGCTCTATGAGCTGGTCACGGGCGAAACCCTCTTCGCCTCACAGATACCCGAGTCGGGCTGGTCGGGCGTCGAGAAGCGCATCATCGCCGGCGATCGCCCCGAAGTTCCCACAGGTCCGTTCCCCTCTCTTCTCGTCCTTGTCGTTTTTCGTTATTCGCTCTTCGGAGTTATAGTCTAAATGAGCCGATGGCGTGGTCGATCGTGCCCTGTGCGCGAGCAGACTGCTATGTGGAGTACAAGGACCTGATGGCCGACTGCTGGAACGCGGACCCCGCGCTGCGGCCGTCGTTCGAGTCGATCCTCAAGCGCATCTCCCGCATCGCCATCAAGTACAACCTGCCCCTCCCCGGCCCATCGGGCAAGATCGCCCTCCCCTCCTACTCCGTCCGCAAATTCAGCGTTGCGTACGTCATCCCCCCCCAATCCTTCCCCCAACTGCGTCATTACGCCGATACGATTGTGTGCGTCGTATATGTCGAGTGAACTAATGTACTTCTGGACGCGACTGGCAGGTACGAGAACGAAGAAGAAGACACCCGGAGAAACAAGAGCAGGCGGCGAATGGGATCATCACCACCGATGCCTCTCGAGGAAACGGACACCGAGTCGGAGGTCGAGGAGCAGGCCACTGAGACATTGGCGCCAACAGCCGCCGCCGCCACGAGCAACGTTGCGCCAGCACCGACACCTACGCCGGCCGAGGCGCCCAAGGAGGAGAACAGCATCAAGAAGCGGCTCCAGAACACCCTGGCCACGCTCCAGCGCGAACTCGAGTCCGACGAGCAGGAGCTTACCACCTCCACCGGCGCCGTGTCGCCCACTCCGTCGTCGCTATCGAACGCGACGGGCGCCGCAGTCCCGCGGCTCCCCAGCAGTGGTGGCACGGCCGCGCCAAAGAAACAAGCGGAGGCCAGCACCCCGCCGCCGCTGAGGCGCGAGGCCAACACGCCGACGGTGGCGGCCGGGGGCAGGCAGGTGTCGACGCTCACGCTGCGCTCGAGCGGCAGCGGGTCGATGAAGGCGCAGGCCGAGCAGGAGGACAAGGGCAGCTTCAATTCCGCCCTGCAGCGTCAAGCCGACCGCATGCGCGAGCAGGTCGAGTCCCTCCAGAGGTATGCCGCCCTCAACCATGTGACCACACACACACACACACACACACGAGGTGATGCTGATGATTGTGTGCCGTGTGGCATTTGATGAGCAGCCAACTCAAGGAGGCCAAGAAGGCGCAGTCGAAAGCCGAGCGGAGTCTGGCCTTCCAGATCCTCGAAAACGATCGCCAGCACACCCAGATGGAGCGGCTCAAGCGGTACCCACCTGAATTCCTCTCGCGGTGTAGACCTGTTGCCCGCCGCTCTAACTCGACGCGTGCGATGGTGGTGACCGACAACAGGAAAGTGGAAGCGCTGAAGAGCGAGAACGATAAGCTGGTGAAGGAGGCGGCCCGGCAGAGCGGAACGCCGGGCACGGCGCCTCGGATGATGAAGACTGTGCGCACGGGCCAGGCCAGCAAGCAGTCGTCGCCCGCTCCGCTCAGGGACGGCGAGCGGGATCTGGCCACAGTCGCCGCGTCTACTGCGACGTCAGGCAGCATCGCCCCGCGGGAAGACGACGGCGACACACCCGCGCTGGCCAGCTCGATGTCGGAGGACCACAACAAGAAGCGGCAGCTCACCGCCATCTCCACCTCGACCCGCGCGCAGCGAGGCCTGTTCACGCCGTACGCGTCGCCCGAGGTCCCGGCCGAGGAAGTCGACGTGCGCGAGATTCAAGAGCGGTACGCAGCGCGCGCGTGCCGTGTGTGTGTGTGTCGTGCGTCGATGCTCACATGCCAGTGGTCCATTGATAGACTGCGGAGGCGAAGCCTGAGCAAGCGCATCCTCGATCGACTGGCCTATTGGGAGAACATGCAGCAGCGGCAGGTGGTGCCTGCCGCACCCTCGTCGCTGGGCAGCAAGAGCTCCGGCCTCGCATCGAGAGGTAGACCTTCGGCCCAGTTGGGCTCTGTGTGCTGTGTGCCTTCTGTCCGCGTTTTTAGCTCCGAGCCTTACTCACTTCGCCAAACGTTTGCCTGCGTGTCGACAGCGAGCACGACCCACGCCCGACCCATCACGCGGTCCCCGAAGCTCGGCGAGCGAGAGCCGCACCGCCGAGCGTCCGACGGCGACGATAAGGGGAAGGAGAAGGACGACGGCGAGGAGGGCGCCATCAGCGGCGGAGAGGAGCTGAAGAGCTCGGGCAGCGTCGCGCGCAAGAAGGTCGAGCTGCGGATCGAGCCGCAGGAGGACGCCGACGAGAAGCGCAAGAGCGTGAAGCTCAGGGACGACAACGACCAACAGCAACAGGACTCAGCGCCCAGCGACACTGCGACACGCACGAACAAGGACGACGAGAACGAGAACGAGAACGAGAACGAGAACGACAGCAGCAGCAGCGAGCGCGAAGGCGGTGGTGACAGCAGAAGCGGCGGGAGCGGGCTGACCGACTCTACCAGGTCGGTGGACGACGTGACGTCGGCCAAGCGCAAGTTCCTGAAGCGATCGTCGTCGTCGAACAACTCGATGGCACGCAAGCGGTTGAGCACGAGCGGCAAATCGCTGCGGGAGCTCAACCCGCGGTTCTCGCTGGCCCCCGGCGCGTCGCTGTCGGCCTCCGGCCCGGTAGCGCTCGCCGCCGACGAGCTCACCTCGTCTTCCAGCGCCGTGGCCGGCATCAATCAGATCTTCTACGGCAAGGCCGAGCTCGTCAAGCTCCTCCTCGAACTCGACGAATTCGACTGAAGCCGCCACACAGATGCGATCACCAACCTCTCTCTTGTACTTTTTTCCGTCTTGACACATGAACTGGTTACCAACACAGGCAACCATTTCGCGTGACACACTCTCACCGCACACGCGACACGACACGACACGACACGACACGACACGACACGACACGACACGACACGACACGACACGACACGACACGACACGACACGACACGACACGACACGACACGACACGACACGACACACGGCAACCCGCAGTGAAAAGTGTCCTAGAAAACGCGCTCGCCTTTCTTCAACTCCGAAAATCACACGGAGAAGAGCTGTGGCCCCATAACTTGATTCTTCAGTTTCACTGCTGGCAGCACAAGAATGGAGCAGCAGACTTTGATCATCCACTCGACGCAGGCGCCCGTGCATGGCGTGGCTCCGACCCAGGTGCGGCTGGACATGAGGAGGCGCCTGTTCCGCGTCGGTGAGTTCGATGAGAGCCTCCCGTTCCTCCTGCGCGGCCGCATCGACGACGGACAGTTCGCGGCCACCATGCACGGCCTCAACTGCACCCTACAGGCCCCGTCGGCCATGCGCACCCTCATGTGGCTCAGCGTGATCGGCATCTGGATCTCGTTCGGCATCTTCCTGTGGGACATCACCTCGTGGAACTACGCCTACGACAGTTTCACCACGACGTGGCTCTTCGAGGGCCTCATGTTCTTCTTCGCCGTCATGACCATCATCTTTTCCATCGGCTACGTCCTCAACGTAATGCCCCCCCCCCTCTGTCGCTTTCGCTCTTTGCTTCCCCCAGCCTTCGCTCTTCGTCTTTTCATTTCTCCCCGTCGCTTTCGCTCTTGCTTCACTTTAATTAGAGAGGGTTGCTGATGGTGGTGGTCTTTGTGCGCAGTTGAGGAAGAGGGTCGACGAGTACCTGGCGCAGGCCAACGCCCACTACAACCCGCTGGGCATCAACTTCCGTCTCGAGAAGGGCTACCGCCGCTGGTACCTCGTCATCGACATCATGCCCCAGTACTCCAGCGCCGCCGGCCCCAGCACCAACACCCTCCCGCAAGGTGACCCTCGTCTTCATCTTTTACCTTTCCTCATTGCTCGTGTACCCTTACCTCTTCTTCTTGTACTGACGTGGTTTATCGTCGGCGCACAGATGAGTACTGCCAGCAGGCGCCCGTGATGGTGCAGCCGGCGTACTACTACCCCAACCCGGCCGGCTTCGCCCCGGCGCCGCAGCAGCACCAGACCCTGCCCCAGCAGCAGCAGCAGATGCCCTACGGCGCCTACAGCCAGGTGGCCTACCAGCAGCAGGCGCCCTCCACCAACAACGTCTGATGACCATCACATCAGTCTTAAGCGTGTGTGTAGTCTTTGCCCGTTGGCTGCGCACAATGAAGGTCCGCCAACTCGACGTGGGAGCTGAGCTCATCAGTTGTCTGGGTTGCCTTCGTTGCACTCGCCCACAAAAACGACCACGTTGTCGAGCGGCAGTGGGTTCTCTTCTCGCGTGGCCAGGTCGTCGAAGAACTGGTGGATAGTGCGCTCCTTGTATCGAAGACTGCTCTCACGCGCAACACGCAGAAACAGAACCGGTTTCAGTTGGCGGCCCACAGCAATGAGAGACGAGGAGAAGACCAGAATGCTGGTGTGATGATTCGTACCTGAAGTGAATGAGGACGAAGGTGTTGTCGGGGTGCGCCAGCACGATGTCCTGCAAACTGTTCCAGTGAATGTGCCCGTCCCTCTCCGCCCGCTCCATGATCACTTGATCATCCTACGCCCAACCAAACGCGGGTGAGCCACACACAGCCGCGGCGAGTTGGGGGCGACATGAGGCGTCGTTGATGTGGGTACCTCTTGCGGGTCGGGGATGAAGGTGCATTCGGTGATGATGACCGGGTAGTCGAACACCTCCGGGTGGGCCTCGTAGACCTGGGTCGAGGTGTCGCCCAGGTAGACGAACAGCGGGGCGTAGGTCTCCTCCTCGATCTCGACGCCCTCCTTGCGCAGCCGCCCGAGCTCCCTGCCCGGCGTGCCGACGTACTCGGGCCTCAGCCGCTTCTTCCGCTCCGCAAACGCGTAACCCACACACGCCACCTGCGCGCACCACGCCACACGGTCATTCATTCGTGTGCGGTGTGTGAGGTGTGTGCGGTGTGTGCGGTCGTACCGAATGGAAGCATCGGAGGACGGTGACCTGGTAGAGTCCGTTCTTGATGAGGTAGGTATCGCCGGGTTTGACGGGCTGCAGGCTGCCGGCCATGAAGCCGTGGCCCTCGGGTATGGGCTGGCCCCAGTTCAGCTGCGACGACGCCTTGATGTACTCCTCCACCACTCCCGACACCTCCTGATCGCTCACCACACACGACACGGCACCACACACACACGACGCGACCCATCGGGATCAGATCGCACGTCATCAGCGTGCATTCAGTGCAGCCGAGAGTGTGAGTGTGTACCTCAGGGCAGAAGAGGGTCATTCCCTCCTTCTTGCTCATGTAGGCGACGTCCACCGAGTGGTCCGTGTGCGTGTGCGTCAGGAACACGTACTTCGGTTGTCTGTACACACAAATTCAAGCACTGTTAAAAGTAAATATAAACAAGTTAAAAAATAAATAAATAGCTTTTATTTATCTATTCCACTGAATATATTTATTAATTGATTTTTTATTTTTAAAACATAAAAATAAAAATAAATTAATAGAAAAAAGGAGGGTACCGGCCACGGCACATGCCAGCGTCGAGGCCGACCTGCAGCTCGGGGATGTGGAAGAAGGTCTTGTCGGCCGACCGCGAGTAGCCGGTCAGGGTGTGGCCCGTCCGTGGGAACTTCCACGTCTTCCATATCCGCTCCGGGTTGTTGGGCTTCAGCGCCGCCTTGTGCACCCCGCGCGACGAGGGCGTCGTGGTCGTCGTTGCCGTTGCCGTTTCCGTTACTTCTGCTGCTCTCATCTTGCTTTGAGTTGGGGTTATGTGGTTGTGCTTGCAGATGGAGGAAGAGATGAAGAGCGGGCGCGCTGCTATTGCTTTCCACTTGGCGGCGGTTCTTGAGGAGAAGAGGAGGAACGTGGAAGAGAATAAAAGCTGGGCCGGGAGGGGGCTACGGCAAAAGCCGGGAGGAGCCATGCATGTGTCGTTACAACAATATTTTCTTTTTTGTTTCTTTTAACTCGTTCACTTAAAGAAACGTGCACGATTCGTGGAGTCTGGCGCACACCCGCAAGACACACGACATCACGGGGCGCGAAGTCGTCAGGACACCTCGCGCAGGAAGAGCCTCATCGCGGCTCGTTCCATTGGGTGTTTCGGGTCGTAGGACGTTCGGACGTGGTACTGCAAGGCCGCGTGTAGGTACGCCGTCTTGTTCAGCGTCACAAGCCGCCTCTGCACACCAGCCCACCGTCAGAAATGTCGCACGACACGCACATACCGCACACACCGCACGCACGACACACGATGAAAACAGAGCACGCACCTGCAGGTTGTAATGCGACTTGAGTTCGATGCGCCAGTGGGGAGGCTGAAGGAACTGCTTGCGGAGAAGACGCTTGAGCTGCGGCAATCTTATGTCGGGGCGCACGAAGACGATCGTCAACTCGTCGCCCCAGAAGCACTTGATCATCACCCGATCGGCCCGCTTGCGCCACCACCAGGCGTCCATCTCGTCCTCCGCCTTCTCGCGCACCTTGGCCGCCTCCCGCTTGTCGGGCGTGTTCTGCCCCGACTTGCGCAGTCGGGCGCCCTTGTCCCGCTCCTTTCCCTTCTCCTTGCCGTGTTGCTTCTTCGACTTAGCCGTGGGAGTTGACGCTGACGCTGCCGACGAAGATGAAGATGAAGATGAAGATGATGATGGCGACGATGCCTTCGTTGCCTTCTTCTTTTTCTTCTTCTCTTGCTTGGCGTCGTCGGTGGTGGCGGTGGTGACTGTGGTGGTGGGCTCGCTGTGGTCGGTCGAAGATGAAGTCGTGCCGTGCTTCTGCTCGATCGACTTCCTCTTCTTCTTTCGCTTGGCCGAGTGGTGTTCCTGGATGAGGTCCTCGGCGGAGTGGTGCCTTTCCTTGGCCCGCTTGAGCTTTTCCATCGGGTCGACAGTCTTGGTGCCAATGAGGAGCTCCTTCTTCTTCATCATCTCCTTCCCGTCGCTCCTGCTCAGGCTCTTCGATCGCTTCTTCTTCTTTCGCTTGGGCGACTCCTCCTCTTCGTCGCCACACATAGCTCCGATGGCCTGGTGGTCGAGGGAAGCGTGGATGGTCGCGTCGAAGCCTGTCTTCTTCGCTTTCTTCGCTCTCACCTTCTCGCCGCCGTCTTCGCTCTTTTCCTCCTTGCCGGCCGTGAGTCGCTGCCCGTCGGCGAGAGAGCCCAGCGTCTCTCGCCGCCTGACCTTTCGCACCACCGGCGACTTGGCCACTATCGTCGTCGCCACCGCGTCGTCTCCTCCATCTTCGCCTGTCTTGAGGTTCTTCCGCCAATCGTTCAGCAGGCCGGCGGTCCGTCGCTTGCCCTTCTTGGCCTCCTTGGCCTCCTTGTCCTCCTTGGTGGTGCCGGTCACCAACTCGCGCTTGATCTCCTTGCCGCTGCCCTTGCCCAGGCTCTTCGATCGACCCTTCGTTCTTCGCTCTTTCGGCTTTTCCGCGATTGCCGCTTCGCTCTTTTCGATCGGTTCGATAGCGGCGTCGGGAGGGGGAGAGGCGGCAGAGTCCATCGACGACGCCAGAGCCTTGGCCGTGCTCCGCTTGAGTGACTTCGATCTCGCCTTCCTCAGCGTCGGCGTTCCTTCGTCCTCGTTCTTCTTGGCCTCCTTTTTATGGGGCTTCCGCGACGTCTTCTCTTTCTTAGGCTCCTTCTCCTTCTTCTTGAGCGGGCTCGTCATTATCTCAGCTTCGACTGCACCGCTCTCAACCCTCTCCATCTCAGCCTCGACTGCACCGCTCTCGACCTTCTCCTTCTTCTTGAGCGGGCTCTTCATTATCTCAGCTTCGACTGCACCGCTCTCAACCCTCTCCATTTGCTCCTCCGCCTTCACCTCCACCTCGACCGTCTTCTTCGCGCCGGCCGTCGGCGTGTCGATCGGCGACGCTTCATGGCTTTCTCCGCTCGACTTCGCTTCGGTGCTCTCACCCTCGGTCCGCGCACTCTTGGGTGTGACCGGCGCCGCTGGTGGCTGCTCCTGTTGCTGCTGCTGTTGCTCGAGTATCTGTCGTCTCTCGGCCGCTTCCCTCTCCTCGTTGAGCCGCAGGAGTATCTGGGTGCCCTGCTTCTCCCTCGGAGTCACAGGAATAGAGAGCCGGCGCCGTCGCTGGGCCTCCTTCTGAAGCGCTCGCACCGCCGGAGAGATCACCAGCATCGGCACCACCGGCGGCTCGGCCCCGGCGCCGCCGCCACCGACGTTTGGCTTCGGTTTCTTCCCTCCGACGTTCGATTCGCTTTCGCCGTGCTTTGCCGCCGCTGGCCTGTGGCCTGGAGCCGCGCTATCGGTCGTCAGGGCGGCGTGCGGGCGATAGCTCCGAGACAGGGAGAAATAGTGGATGAAGGCTCGCGGCGACTTGCGCTTGGTGAGGGACTTGGGCGAGAGCGGCTGACGATCGTCGAGCGCCGTTGCTCGGCTCGAGAGCGGGTCGGGCTGATCGTCGGACGTGGTGCGGGTGAGCTTGGTCGGGACCGTGCCCGAGCTCGTGCCTAGCAGCTCCCAGCGCTCGATCATGAGGCTCACGCTGCCTCGTCGCTCTTGCCTCGCAGTCCCGTTTTTAACTCCGGCAGTGGCGGCGTTCGCATCTTTAGGTCCGACGACCTTCTCCATGACCTGCTTGGCGTCGGCCTGGTTGGTCGTCGACGTCAGTGTCTCGATGAGGCTGTCGATGGTGCCGTGCTTGGGCGTGGCCGTGGCCTGACCCTCGCTCGACAGCAGCCCGACCGCGCTATCGTCGACCGAGCCGCGACTCGACACGCTGCTGTTGTTGGAGTGCTGCTTCTGCTTCTGCTTGGCCTTCTCCTCGCGCTCCTTCTTCGACGCGCCGCCAATGGAGAACGAAGAGATGGAGAACGATGGGATCTTGAGCGAGCTCGTGTGCGGCTGGTGTTGGTGATGGTGGTGCTGTTGCTGCGATTGCTGGTAGCTCATACTCCACAGGGCCGACGAGTTTTTGGCGCCCCTTCGCTCCGTGAGCGACGGCTCATCGAGCGCGCCCTCATCTCTGTCGACCAGCATCTTGAGCCGTCGCTCGAACCGCTTGCGGTGACCTGCGCAACACGTGTGGCCCATCAGCATCATCATGTCGCCCGCCACATGACGGCAGCCGCAACCCGCGTAGGCGTGAGCGTACCAATGCTCTTCATGCCCATCGAGCGGAGGTCGTGTTTGTCGATCTGGGTGAGGTATTGGCCGGTCACCTCATTCCGCCGAAAGGCCGGTATGTACATGCCCATGCACAACAGGTCGAGCCACATGCACACGTCCTTCACACTCCACTGTTGTGTGCCGCCAACAACGCCACAGCCACACCACCCAGACCAGACCAAAGAGTCAGTGCACACGGCAAGGGCATTGGGCTTGTGTTGACTGGGCGCAGCGGCACCTCTTGGAAGGGGACGGTCTTGAGGCGGACGAGGCGGGCGATGACAGCGGCTCCGTGCGTCACGGCGTCGCCATCGCCGGGCGCGTCCTCCCACAGGGCGGTGGAGGAGGAGATGGAGGCGGACGAGGAGAGCGACGAGTTGGAGGAGAGCGACGAGTCCGATCCGCATCCGCCGCTGCTGCCGCCGATGCTGCGTACGCTCACCGAGTGGAAGAATCCGTTGGAAGGCCTCTTGGCGGCCGTCGACGACTTCTCCTTGTTGCCGGCCTTGCGCGTGGGCAGCGAGGAGGCCAACGCGCCTGTATGCCTCCGCCCGCCTTCCTCCGTCGCCGCCGCCAACGTGGGCAGCGTCGCGTGCTCGTCGTCGCTCTCACGCCCCAGCGACTGTTTGGTGCACGCAGTCATGGAAAGAGGGGTGGGGGGACTCATGAGTCACACATGCAATACAGTGGGCCAGAAAAGCTCCAGGATACGGTGGTCCGCACAACCCCAAAAACAGCGCTTCCCCGTAAATGAACGGACACGCGGGCGGAAAGCGGAAGGGGGGGAGGGGAGGTACGGGGACGGAGAGGGTGGAGAGGGTTTGGGAGCGTTCGAGCCGGCTGAGGGTGGCGTGCCGCTTCTTTTTGGTGGTGGTTGTGCTGTGGTGCGTCGGCGGAGCGCGGGGCGGGGGCATGTCCGTAGAGGCGTAGAAGGCGGGGGGCGACACGAGCACCTCCTCCTCTCGCCACCCCTTCTTCGGGCGGAGCGAGGTGAACCGCCGCATCGGAGGGAGGATACCTTGCCAACACCGAACGAACTAATAACTAACTAATACAGGGCGCCGGGGGGGGGGCTTATTTCTCCCTTCGCTTTCGTCTTCGCTCTTCTCCTTCGCCTTCGTGTTTATGAGAATCAAACGTGCTGACGAGGTGTGTTCAAACTTTTTCGCTCGTGCTTACCGCGGAGCCTTGCGTGAGGTGCGCGGGCAAACAGCCACAGCAGAGCGCGCGTAGCTGTGTTGCCACAATCGCGACACAACAACCACCAAGCCGTGTCCAGGCGTTCCTTAGCCGTTACCCTCCCCTTCACCCCGGCAAAAAGCTGGGTTTGACAAACTGACCCCTTCGATAACGGCCCCAAAATACCATTCAACCACTCTAGTGAGCGTCCATCTTCATCTTTTGGTGGCCCTCTTTGTTCAACAACTCCGGGTATTTCGTTTCCTGTCCCACCAACGCAAACCTGACCCCACCCTGACCACCGAAACAGCAGAGGCGGTGCTTGTATCATAGAACAGATGACGGAAAGGAGCAAGCTTAGGGTCCCTCCCGCCTCTCCTGGCAGAATGGGTCCCCACTCGCCAGGTACTTTCATGACCCATTTAATCTCCCAAATCTTCATAATTGGAGGGAAATTAATTGTTTTTGGGTTCAGGCGGGTCGGGGGGACTGGACGTGACAAAGTGGGGCGAGGAGGAGGTGGGTCGGTGGTTGGACGGCATCGGTTGCGGAACCTACCGCAGCGCCTTCCGCAAACACCAGATTCTGGGCGAAGACCTTCTCGACCTCGACAACGAGGACCTTATTGAAATGGGTGCGCTCTCCTTCCCTTCCGTTTTTCGCTGTGCCATGTGTCACCCTTCGTCCTCTTCTTCAGCGTCGCCTTCGTTCTTCCCTTCCCTCCCCCCACTCCTCGTCTTCGTTCTTTCTTTGCCCCCCCCCCGATGGTTTGCTTACCAGTCGGGCTCGGGCGAACAGGGATTGCCTCGACAGTGCAGCGTAAGTGGGTGATGCAGCAGGTGACGGGCCTGCGGCGAAAGGCCCACGGCAAGAAGGCCATGGAGGAGCTCTACGAGGAGATGGGTATCATTCCCAGCCCGCTCTCCCCGCGCGAGGGCGACGCCAGCGACACCGGCACCATCGCCGAGGACGACGAGGAGATCAGGGGAGAGAACGACGATGACGAAGACGACAGCGACGACACAGATGATGACGACGACAGCGAAGACGAAAGCGAAGACGACGATGTGGACAACGAAGTCATCATCCTTCGCGCCGCGCCTCCCGCCGCAGCCAAGGCCAAGCAGGCGCCGCCGCAGGAGAAGACCAAAGGAAAGAAGGAGAAGACGAACGGCAGCGGTAGCAACAAAGTTGAATCGACGCCGGCCTCGCCCTTCCCCGGCATTCCGCTCTACAACGCCAAAAAGTCGCCGTTCAACTCCCGGCGCGACGCGGCCGCTGCGCCCGACGCCCTGCCTGACGAGCCGGCGGCGGCCGACGCGAAGAAATCCAGCCACAAGCACCTCAAGGCCAAGAGCCTCCTTAAGTGGGGCGGCTCGGCCAAGAAGAAGGAAGGCAAGGCCGGCGAGTCGGCCAAGCCGACGCCTGCGCCGGCGGCGGCTGCGGTGGCACCGACCCCGCCCGGATCGTCGAGGCAGGCGACGCGATCGCCGCCGCCGACGTCGCCGCGGCTGCGGACACAGAAGGGCAGCAGGGAACGCAGGAGCTCGGGTCCGTTGGACATCGACATCGCCAAATATGTGAGCGAGTTCGACGCCAAGCACCCCTCGACCGAGAAGAAGAGGAAAGGGTACGCATATGCAGCGAACCCGTTCCACGATTGTTTGAAATCTTTGGGTGATTCCAAACACAATCTAACATAACACGACACACGACATCAGATCGCGCGCCAAGGGGAGGAAGCGCTCGGATTCGGTGAGCGAGGCCTCGCAGAACGAGTCGGAGGACTCGCACTCATCGCGCAAGCGGACTTCCGAGTCGCGGACGTCCCTGAACGAGTCCGAGGTCTCCATCAGCGAGCTCGAACCCTTCGATACCCCGAGCGACCTGGCCAAACGTTCGCCCCACCTCCCTCCGCGTGGCTGGTGCGCGAAAATAACTCCGATCCGCGCATTTTGGTGGTGTCTCCAACAGGACCGCAGGGTGTGCATCTGCCGCTGCCCACGTTCGAGCGGCACGAGCTAGAGATGGGCGACATGATCGCCGTCACGGCCTCGGGCTCGGTGCACTCAGCCAGCTGGCGAGGCACGCGCGTGGCCCTCAAGCAGATGCGGATGGTCGAACTCAACCGGTACACGCCAACAGCGCCTGTTGTACCCTCGCTGCATGAACGCTCATATCTCGCCTCATTGGCGCGCGTGTTGGTAGGTCGCGCGTGATGAGCGACTTCCGCAATGAGGTGGAGATCCTGGGCAAGCTGCGACACCCCACGATCGTGGCGATGATGGCCTATTGCTGCGACGCGCCAGATCTTCTTCTCATGATGGAGTACATGGAGGTACGGTCCCTCCTAAATTTCTGTCGTGTGCTCTGGTCTGAGGGTTCTCGAACATGGCGTGATGATTGTAGGGAGGCAGCTTGCACGAGCTGCTGCACTCCAAGGAGACGAAGCTCAACCGTCTGCAGAAGACCAACATCGCGCTGCGAATAGCGCAGGGCATGAACTTCATCCACCTTTCCAAGATCATCCACCGCGATCTCGTATGCGTCCCTCCAATCCATCCTCCTTTTCGACTCCGAACTGTATGGCCTTTGCTGATTTTAGCTCCGACGATATGGTGCCTTCTCAGAAACCGCAAAACATTTTGTTGGACGAACACATGCGGCCCAAGATCTGTGATTTTGGTCTGTCGAAGACCCGGGAGCACACCCTCACCCACCAGGGCATCCACGGCACTGCTCCTTACATGGTACACACACGCACGCACACGCACACGCACACGCACACGCACACGCACACGCACACGCACTAAGAGGGGTGCCTCTTGCTCGGCTGCTCACGGTATTCGTTGGTGACAAACAGGCGCCGGAGCTGCTCGACAGCGACGAGGCTGGCCGATATGGCGGCAAGTCCGATGAGCGTGTCGACGTCTATTCCTTCGCCATCGTGTATGCCCCTCCCCCCACCTTCGCTTTCGTTCTTTGTATTGGCTCTCTTCCTTTTTGACAATCCCCTTTCACGTGTGGGCAGTCTGTGGGAGCTGTTCACGCGCAGGAAGCCGTGGGACGGCAAGGCGCTGCCGCAGCTGGTCTACCCGGTCCTCTCCGGCAAGCGGCCCGGACCCCTGCCCCAGGTTCGTCCCTTCTATTTTTCTCTCCTCGGCACCATCGCTCTCTTCTTTGCGCGAATGCTGACGCTCATGCCATCTCTCTCTAGAAATGTCCCAACTCGATCAAGGCGCTGATCGAAATGTGTTGGGACGGCGACTTCATGAGCCGCCCCTACTTCCACCAAATCGTACATCGCGCCTGCATTCCGCCAATGTGGTCGACACAATTGCTCAGTGTGTGTCGTGTCGTGCCATTGGCTGTGTGTGGCGTGTGGCATGGTCGCTAGGTGCCGGTGCTGGAGCAGGAGTACAAGCGACAAAAGACGCTCAAGCGCAAGTCGGAGAAGAAGAAGAAGGAGAAGCTGGTGCGCAAGTCCAAGGACCTGGCCAAGCGGGTCAAGGAGCTGGAGGAGCAGAATGCCAAGGTCGAGGAGATGATGAGGCGGCTCTCGTCCTCGTCCACCAACTCGCCCACCACCCTCGCCGCGCCCCCCTTGCCCAATTCCGGCAAGATGCGCGCCAAGAGGTCCGGCTCGGGCGACAAGAGCAAAGTCAAGGCGCGGACCTAAACCTTCTTGTTGCACCACAGCTTGTCCGGACATAAAAGTGGGCCTTTTTGTATCTCGCGAGACAGAAATTGTAGTAATCAGCGCGATCACTTGGGATCATAGATAGACACGCGAGCACTGCGTAATCCGCTGTTGTTGGTACGTGGGCGTTCGCGCGCACTGACGTAAGTGTTGACGTCAAGGACGGTTAGGGGTACGTCACTACTTACGCAAGCGCTGACGTAGAGGATGGCTTGGGTCACGTCACCACCTACGTCACTCATCCAACGGCGAAGCAGAGCGAGAGCTTCCCTTCACTGCAGTGGCCACCGCCAGGACACAGAATGTTCTCGACCTACGTACACGCTTTCTAAGGTCAATTTTGTTACAACCACATGTCATAATTGATCTGCCACCCACGTGGTGCGCCACGAGCATCACCAACATCTTGACGCTGTGCTGGGTCATGTCTTGCGCCATTGGCGGAGCCATCTCCTCGAATTCGCCCAAAGGACACGACCAAGATTCATGTTCTCTGCCCAAGACCCAAAGTTGTATCAATCAACCAGCCAACATGTCAGCACCACCGAGCGTAGGCCGTGAGTTCTCGCTCCTCTTCGTCCTGTCTTTCTTGCCTTGTGTTGATTACTTGCCTGACCCGAAGCTGCCCTCGTGGCGCAGTGGTTCATGGTTGGGACACAGATCAAGTGGAACTGTGGCTGCTGAAGCTGGGGTTCGAGCAGGACGTGCGCGAATGCCTACGCTCGTGTGGAGTGGACGGGCAGTACCTGCTGCGACTGGACGACCTCACCCTTAGCTGTCTCGGCGTAGAGAGGCTGGGCGACCGCAAGCGCCTGCTCCGCCGCCTACGGGGAATCAACAACTCCTGCTTCTTCCTTGATCTCGGTGTCTACCCATCTTTTTGGCCAGTCGACGCTTCGTTTTGTGTCCTATATTTTGATCGTTCCCTCTTCGCTCTTTGCAGACCCGCGCACTTGGACGCCAGACGAGGTCGCGACCTGGCTGAGGATGTGCGGCCTGGCCGAGTACAGCGCCCAGTTCGAGCTGGGCGGCATCACGGGGCGCCGGCTGCTCTTGCTCGACGAGGTGGCCCTGCGCGAGATGGGCGTCAGCAAGTGGGGCCACCGCAAGCAGATCCTGCGACGCACCGCCGAGGCCCGCCACTCATCGCGCCGGCGACTGCGCGGCCGGCCCGCGGTGGCCCAGTGGTCGGAGCGCGATGTGTGCGACTGGCTCAAGCTCATCCAGTTGGCCGACTACCGCCAGGTGTTCGTCGACCACCGCATCGACGGCCGACGACTGACCGCACTGACCGACACCGCCCTCGTCGAGGACATGGGCATCACCACTCTCGGCCACCGCAAGCGCATCCTCAAGGAGCTCCGCGCCGCCATCGCTGCCGGGGCGACCGCCGCGGCCCACCACCAGCGAAAAGCCAAGCCCGACTCGCCTGAGCTGGGTCGCACAAAGTCGAAACGGAAACGAGCAGAACTAGACCGGCCGTAAATCAATCTTGCGAAAAGATGAAAGATGTAAAAAGGGTAGAGATCGAATGATTAAAAGGGATCACACGATTGGGGGGAGGCGACTACTAGGCAGACGAGGAAGAGGCGGCGGGGACAGCCTTGGGCTTGACGACCTCGGCCTTGCCTTCCTGCTCCTGCTTGCCGGCGAAGCGGCGGGCGAACTCCTTGAGCTCTTGCTCCTTGATCTGGCGGAAGATGGGCACGGCGTCGCTGATGACGTGGCCGGCGGCCACCTCGAACGTCCAGCGGTCGGGGATCTGGGAGTGGTCCAGCTGCATCTGGCGCAGCACCTTCTCCGAGAAGTGGGGCATGAACGGCTCGAGCAGCGCCGTAAGCAGCTTGACGAGGTTGAGGCCCACGTGAACCACGGTGGCGCAGCGCTGCGGGTCGGTCTTGAAGAGGACCCAGGGCTCCTGCTTCTGGAGGTAGTAGTTGCCGAGCCTCGAGATATGCATGGCCGCCTGGAGCGACGCCTTCATTTTGGCGAGGTCAAGCTCCTTGACGTAGACCTCGAGCTGCTCGTCGACCTCCTTGATGAGGGTCTGGTCGTCCTCAGTGAGCTGGCCGAGCGCGGGCACGGTCGACGCGAAGCGGTCCTTGGTGAACTTGAGGCAGCGGTTGACGAAGTTGCCCAGGTTGGCCAGCAGTTCGTTGTTGTTCTTGGCACCAAAGTCCTCCCAGTTGAAGTCGCTGTCCGACGTCTCGGGCCGGTTGGCCAGCAGGTAGTAGCGCCACACTTCGGCCGGAATGCCCGTGTTCTTGGCCGCGTCACCGAACACGCCCGTACCTCTGTCAAGACAAGCACATGGCCACTGTCAGGAAGAGCCATGGCGTAATGTCGAACAAAGGGATGAGGGCAAGAGTAGAAGATTACCTGCTCTTGGAGAACTGGGTGTTCTCGTAGTTGAGGTACTCGGTGGTGCTGATGGAATGGAGGAGGGTCCAGTCGCCGCCGGTGGCCATCAAGGAGGCCGGGAAGATGACGCAGTGGAAGGGAACGTTGTCCTTGCCCATGAACTGGTGGAGCTCCACGTTCTTGGGGTTCTTCCACCACTATGTGAACGCACGGCGTACAGACAGATGGTAAGTAAGCAGGTCTCAGAGACAACAGAGGGAAAGACTATGTTACCTTCTCCCACTCTTCGGTGTAGTTGGCGGTGATGGAGATGTAGCCGATGGGCGCGTCGAACCACACGTAGAAGACCTTCTCCTTGTACTTGTCCAGAGGCACGGGGGTGCCCCACTTGAGATCGCGGGTGATGCAGCGCGGCTGGAGACCCTCCTTGAGCCACTTGTCCTTGGTCGTCGAGATGGAGTTCTGCGACCACGTGCCCTGGCTGATGGACTTGTCGACCCACTCGTTGAGCTGCCCTTCGAGCCGCGGCAGGTCCAGGAACAGGTGCTCCGAGAAGCGAGGCTGAATGCACTCACATCATCCACGATGTCAGATGTTCGTAGCGATGGGGAGAGAGAGTTAACCGGTGATGGACCGTACCTCGGGCGTGGTGCCGCAGGTCTTGCAACGCGGGTTGACGAGTTCGATGGGGTTGAGAAGGCTTCCGCACTGATCGCACTGATCGCCTCGGGCGTCAACGTAGCCGCATCCCTCCTTGGGGCAGGTGCCCTCGACGAAGCGATCCGCCAAGAACTTGGCGCACGTAGGGCAGTAGAGCTGCTCCAGCGTCTGGGTGAGCAGGTAGTCGTTCTTCTGGATGTCAAGGAAGATCTGCTGCGCAATCCTGATATGTGTGCAAACATCGCACGAAGACGGAGTCAGTCTCGAGCATACGTAACGACAAAAGCAAAGCAAGGGCCTAAAATGCTGAGGCTGGGGACAAGGTACGTGGTTTGCTGTTCGGTTGTGGTACGGCCAAACTTGTCGAACTGGCAGCCGAACCACTCGTAGATCTCCCTGTGCACCTTGTAGTACTTGTTGCACACCTCGATCGGGGTCATACCCTCCTGGAGGGCCTTGGTCTCGGTGGCCGTACCGTACTCATCCGTGCCGCAGATGTAGATCACGTTGTGGCCACGGAGACGGCAGTACCTGGGGTCACAGCAACGTGGTTAAAGTGAGAACCACTATCATGCGATTCACAAGGGAATGCCGTAGCATACCTGGCGAAGACGTCAGCGCTGAGGACGCAGCCGATGATGTTGCCCAGATGAGGAACGTTATTTACATAGGGCAGCGAGCTGGTGATGAGGATGTTGCGCTTGTCGTCCACAGGCAAGATAGGGTCTGCAGCCACAAACGGTGCGGGCCGTCAGTTTGCTGTCGACCGACAACACTGAGTGAGGAGAGAGAGAGGAAGGCGTACTTGTGCTCTCCACGCCCACACCGGGGAGGAGCTCCTCGGGCAGGGTGTAGGTGGCTACCTCGACCTCGAACTTCTCCTTCTTGACGACGGGCTCCTTCTTTTCCTTAGGCTTCGCCTTGGCCTTGCCTCCGCTGTTGATGTTGAAAAATCGCGTGGTTGGATTAATGCCAGTAACAGAAATAGTGGCGAGTAGGAGGTAAAAACGTACAGTGTGTCCTCAGGGTACAGCGCCTTGAACTCTTTTTGCTGTTGAAACATTAGATAAATAATAATTAGAAATTTAGAAATAAATGGGCATTTAAATGAAGCAACCTCGTACCAGCGCAGCGATCTTCTCCTTGCCATCCTTGAGGCGGTTCAGCACTTCATCGATCTTGGCCTTGTCGGCCTTGGCCTTCTTCAGCTCTACGAATTCCTTCTGAAATACGGCTTGTCCATCTTCGAGCACTTTAAGATCCTCCGCAAATTGTTCCTTTGTCTTTTCGCACTCCATTTTCTCTTCACCTTTGATTGATCCTAACACTGTGCCTTTGTTAATCGATGCGCGTTGTCTTGTTGCGAGTGCTGTTGCTTGGGGTGAATCGATTCAGTAGCGATGCTGTGCTGGCGTTGCCTTCTTTTTGCAGCTTGCGAAAAGCAGAATTATCCTGGAATGCAGAGCACTCAAATTCCGCGCATAGTCTGGATTGAATCCGCAAACAATCGCAGAAGCCAACGAAGGAGCAAGATGGCGAAGGGAAAGAAGAATCAGGTATGGATTGGACGGCAGCGTGGGCGTGCATGCGCACGGGTGGGACGGCAGGCATTTGATTAATCCCCCCCCGAATTCTTAGAATATGGTGGTGAAGCTCGTGAGCATGGCCGGCACCGGCTTCTTCTACACGACCACGAAGAACCCGGCCGCCACCCGCAAACTCTTCCTTCAGAAATATGACCCGATGCTCGGCAGCCACACCCTGTTCCGGGTGCGCTTCCCCCTTTGCACAGCTCCGCCATTTTAACGACCCCGGAGATCTGATTGTGCTCGACAATTTCTTCACTGCAGGAGGAAAGGATCAGCAGGAGCAAGAGGAAGTAAATATGTACATCGGAGACAGATTTTCTAATGCACAGGCTTTTCTCTTTCTTCCTGCCCTGTTTTCTTGATTGCTCTCTTCATCTTGGCTCCAGCTTCAGCGAAGCTCAGACATTCCGCCTCGGCCCCTCAATCCTTGAAGCGCTCGGCAACAAATACGACCACTCGCAACCAGACGAGCAACACACAACGAGGACGACAAATGGAGGGTAGTCACGAAGCGCACGAGGGTGGTGACGAAGTTTACCGCCGAGCAGCCAAGGCCATCAAGGAGGGCACCTTCTTGCTGGTCGGTGCCGGCGCGGGCATGTCGGCCGACTCAGGCCTCCCTGGTACTCAAACTTCACCCTCCCACTAACAGCTGCCAATGGCCGACGTCTCACTTGTGTCGTGTGTCGTGTGTCGTGTGTGTTGCCACTGTAGTTTATGGTGATGTGTCCAAGCTGGAGTTCTTCCAGCGCACCAAGCTGGACTACCGTGATGTATGCGACCCGTCCCTCCTGATCAAGAACCCCGAGCGCTACTTCGGGTGGGCCGCGCTCAACATCTCCAAGTACCGTGCCGCGCGGCCCCACGCCGGCTACGACCTCCTGCGCCGATGGCGGGACGACCTCTATCCCGCGCAGCAGCAGCAAGGACCCGGGACCGACGAGCTTGTGCGTACGCTGCACGCCAAGCTGCGAGACCCCACCAGCATCAGATCGCTCGAGGGCCTCGGCGTCTCCGCGCTGCCCGGGCGCACGTTCGTCTTCACCACCAACGTGGACGGCTTCTTTCTCCGCGCAGGGTTCCATCCCGAAGAGGTTCAGCCACACACACACACACACTCCGTTCCGTGTTTGTCTCACCACCATTGACCACGCGCGTGTCTGTGGACACAGGTGTTTCAGGCTCACGGCACCTATGAGCGCGTGCAGTGTGCAGGCCTCAAGCGCGAGGGCAGGTACGTACCGTCGTGCAAGTTCTTCTTTGCCGCTGCACAGTACGTTGGCTTACATTACATGCCTCTTTCACTGTACCATGGGCAGCAAGAGCCCGGCGTTCAAGCACTTCGATGGGCCGTGTTGCCAGAAGACGTGGGAGGTGCCACAGGACTACGCCATGGAGTACGACGAGCTGAACATGTCCGCGCCCGCGGGTGCGCCTCGCTCTAGCCCCACGTCGGTCGACCCCACCCACTGGGGCAATCACGCCACCTGCTCCCACTGTGGCAAGCTCGCCCGATCCAATATTTACGGCTTCGGAGGTAAACCGCACCACATACTCCAAACGTTTTTGGCTGTTGTTGGGTTGCCAGATCTGATATCCGCTTCTCACATCCAACGTCATCTGTAGATTACTGCTTCATCGAGAACGAGCAGGAGTCGGCCCTCTTCATGAATTGGTGCCAGGCCGTGCAGCAAATGGTGAAGGACGACCCCAAGGCCTCGGTCGTGCTGTTAGAGATCGGTGTAGGACTGCGGCTGCCCAAGGTACCTACCCTCAACTGTCATGATGATGGTGACCTCACCAAATGTCTCATGGTTTGAATCAATCATCAGGTGCGCGTGCATTTTGAGAGAATGGTGAAGGAGCTGCCCGAGGGACGGGCCACCATCGTCCGCATCAACCCAACGCCTGTGGACTGCGATCCCGCTACCACCGCCTCTGTAATCCACATCTACGATGGCACCCTCACCGCCCTACAGAAGATCGACGCCATGTTGCATGAATAACAGCGGCACCTCTTGTAATTGAACAGTCACGCAACCAGTCGCGTGCAGTGATAAATGCATCACGTCGCCTTTTGCCTCCGAGGGGACCCGACGGGCAGAGAGCTTGATGGTTGATGGATACGGCCATACTGCGCAGAAAGCACCGCTTCCCATCCGAACAGCGAAGTTAAGCTGCGCCAGGCGGTGTTAGTACTGGGT